CTCTGTGGTGTCCAGTCCGGGGGCAGCAGTGGGATTTTCTTTGCTATACTGATGAAGCTGTACCTGCAAGAAGCAGCCAGCCCAGAGGTGGCGGCAGGGGAGTCTAGTCCAAGTCAGCTTCATGTTTAGAGAGGTTGACCACTTCTCTGGAATATTCTCTAGAATCGTATGTTCTCCGGAATATGATAAGAGCGGCTTTGCCCTCAAAAAAACCTCTTGATGGTTGGGCTTTTCTGTTGTAGAATCAAACCAGAAGATGCAATGGACTTTGGCATCTCCCTCCTCTTCTACGGTCTTTACTACGGAGTGCTGGAGCGGGACTTTGCCGAGATGTGTGCGGATTACATGGCCTCGACCATTGGGGTGAGTTCACCAGGGGCTGCCCCCCAGGCCAGAGTCATCCCCATAGCGGGGGGCCTGAAACATGTTGGTCCCAGCAGCAGCTCTGGCCTCCCTCCAATGGGAAAGTGCATCAAACTTCCCCCTCAAGGAAGGGTCCCTGGCTATAACGTAGCAAGAGTTGCTCTGAGAGCCTTCCTGAAGAGCGAAGCCTCTGCTGGGTCCCCTCAGCCCCAGAAGGACAAGAAGTACTTCCCCAGGAGTGCGGTGTGGCACTGGCACAGGTTGTTCAGAGACTTTTGCTGCCCCTGTGGACAGAGGGCTTGGTGGCCCAAAATCTGTAGCCCACTCGTGTGATATCAAAATAACCCAATCCACTTAGAATATGTGACATAAGACACCAGTGAAGTAGGTCATATTTCTTCTTTTCAGCAGCTGTTTAGGATCTTGGACTTTGTCTTTCCTCCTCCTCTTCCTTTCTGAGCTTTCTGCTGCTGCTTCTTGAGGTTCTGCTCCAGCCTCTCACAGGCCACACTGCAACACCTTGGCACAGCTCAGGTCTCTCTCAGATCCCCAGGGCTCTGTCAGATGCTCAGAGCAAAAATGTGCCAGGACTCTGAGGGAGGCATGTTTTTGCTGATGATACTAAACCAGGAGAGGCTGTGGCCTCTTAGGAGTGAGAGCTGGACAGACGAGAGAGCTGGGCAAGCTTCAGCCATGTGAAATTTAGCAGGGCAAGTGCCAAGATTCTCCTCCTGGGGTGGCATAATCCTGGTTATAGGTACAAATTTGAAGACACGAGCCTGGAGAGAGTCCCGTGGAAAGGGATTAGGGAGCTGGGGTTGACAGCGAGTCCCTCGGCATGGGAAGGGGGTGCGTGGGGCTGGGATGTGATGGGCCACTGCATCACTGAGCAGCTCCCTGTCCTGTTGTAGTTGTTTCCCGCAGCTGGACCTGTAACAGGGTTTTTAAGCCCCAAAGGCCGAGGCGACTCCCGGGGTGCTGCCCCCAGCCCTCCTTAGAGCTTAGCCGTGCCACCGCGGGCGTGGGACACGTGCCCTCCCGCTGTCACCGCTCTCCCTCTGCTCTGCCCTCGCTCAGTTCTACAGCGCCTCGGGAATGCCCACCAAGCACCTCTCCGACAGCGTCTGCGCCGTCTGTGGCCAGCAGATCTTTGTGGACGTCAACGAGGAGGGGATCATCGAGAACACCTACCGCCTCTCCTGCAACCACGTGTATCCTTCTCTGCAGGCGCCAGCCCCTCGCCTCGCTGGCCCCACACTGGGGTGGGCAGCAGGGAGCTCCTGCCCCACGGCTTCTCCCACAGTGGGTGAAGAAATGCCCGTCCTGGGACTTGGGGCTGTCTGGCTGAATTTGCATGTGATCCATGGCTGTGTCCTCACTGACTCAGCATCCATGAAATCACTTGGTTGCCACCTCCATGTGTATCACAAGTGTTTATTTCCTCTTTCTTTCCCTCCCCAGCTCCCTTTGCTCGGCCATGGAGCTGCACCTCACTTTCCACCTGCCTTTGCCAAATCCGCTGTGACCTATCTGCCTGGCAGTGGCAGCTCTGATGGTCTGAGGTTGGGACGTGCCCTGCTCTGTGCCATGCTGGCCCCTCGTCAGAGAGCCAGTGCGGTGGGTCCTGTCTGAGTCTCCATAACATAAAATCGGGGGAAACACTGCTGGCCTCCCTCTGAAAACAGCCCCTGGGTCCAGCACTGCTGGTCACTGCCTGCTCTGATCACAGCCTGGCAGCTTCCTCCTTTCCCAGAACTCCTCCAGGGTTTCCAGGACCCTGGAGTCACTCAGCCCTTCCCATCAGCTGATTGATGTGAAGTGGGTTTTGAAACTGGAAGTCCTGGTTGTTGCTCAGCCCCAGCTGAGACAGGTCAGGGTTTTTTCTCTGTGGTGACTCAGCCTGGAAGTGGAATGTCCTCTGGCACCGCGTGCATTACTGCCTGCAAGGTGGTTTCCAAACTGGGCCTAGGCAAAGGTCATGCTGGCAAAACTCATGGCCTAAATTTAACTGTTAGGAACTGCTTGTGAGATTTATGGCTGACTCGTGCAGAGTCTGGGACTATGGCAGCACGGGGTTGTGTGGTTGTCAGAGGAGCTGGTCTATGTCCTGGTGGTCCTCTGGGGTGAGGGCTGGCTGGGCACCCCTGGATCTATGGCTCCAGGGCTGACAAGGGAGTGGCTGCTGTTGCTGACTCACTGGCATTCCCCCTTGGTTTGAGCAGCAGAGATATTCTGGGGGAAGTTTGTTTGCTCAGTGACACCCTTGTGCATGGCAAGTCGGCTGCAGCCACCTCGTGTTTCCCTGTAACTTCCCCAGGCAGTGCTCAGTTGTGCACATCCTTGTGACGGAGCATAGCAGTAAGTCAGATCCTGGGAGAAATTCCATAAATATGTTGTCAATCCCCAAGAAGCCTTTGAAGAAGGCTTCCAAAATGCACACAGCTCACAGAGCTCTCCCAGACTGTCTGAACCTTCCCAGTGTTGGGCACCATCAGTGAAGGGTTTCAGTCTCCCCGGTGCCCATGCATTGGTCAGGCCATCATTCTGCCTCCCTGGTCCCATCCTGCTGCCCCATGAGCCCCTTCTGCTGTCCCTGGAAGCTGCTGCACCTTCTAGGAAAGGTCTGTGGTTGTGCAATGCACCGTCCTCATGCAGTGGGATGTTTCCTTGGCCTGGGGGGATTTTCTTAGGCTCGGTGGTTCCCTCCACGCTCAGTCATGTGTGCCCCTCTTCCTCTAGTTCCCCTTAACCTGCCACTCCCCAGGTTTCATGAGTTCTGCATCCGTGGCTGGTGCATTGTTGGGAAGAAGCAGACGTGTCCATACTGCAAAGAGAAGGTGGATCTCAAGAGGATGTTCAGTAATCCGTATCCTTTCTTCTGCTGGGAGCCAGCACTGCGGGAAGGAGAGAAGTGGGTAGAGCACATAAGGGGTGAGGGGCTCATCTTACCCTGGGTAAGCCACTGCAGCCCATGACAGTGGCAGAGACCCTGCAAACCCAAGGCAAGCCTGGCCACAGCTTTCCCTCTGCGGGGACCCATGTCTGTCCTTCCCCGGGTGCCGGTGTCCGTCCCTCCCTGGGCACCTGTGTTCTCTGTCCCTGCTTTGGGGCACCTTTGGGTGGCTCCTGGGTGGGCCGTGCTCCTCTCACCATCTCCCCATGGCTCTTTAACTCCTTCCTACCCAGCTGGGAGAGGCCTCACGTAATGTATGGGCAGCTGCTGGACTGGCTGCGCTACCTGGTGGCCTGGCAGCCGGTGATCATCGGACTGGTCCAGGGAATCAACTACATCCTGGGGCTGGAGTAAGCGCAGGCGGTGGGGAGCCGCAGAGCCACGAGAGGACGCGTGCCCAGGGCCGGGGACAGTTGCCACCGGGGATGCTGGCTTTGCTCCATCACCTCTCAGGACCTCGGCCACCCCTGAGGACAGCAGCATTGGGGCCCCTCCTGCCAGAGCTGAGGGAGGATTTTTTTAAAAAGCAATTATTTTAATGAGCGTATTTAAAACTTTCTATTGCAGCTGAAAAGAGACACTCGTCCCCTTTCCCTGCCCCTCTCGGGTCCTTTGCAGCACCCCCCTGGGCTGAGCTTTGGGCTGGGGGCTGTTCTCCAGCTCCCTCCTGCCGCTCTGCCAGGGGAGGCCATGGGGAGAAGGGCCGAGGCTTTGCCGGCTCCGACGCTGGCACCCCGGAGCAGCCTTGCTGGCAGCGAGGATGGGATATGGGGGCTGCAGAGGAGAGGCTGGAGCCCAGTGCCCTGAAAGAGGGGACAGAGGGATGCCTGGCAACCCCAGGCTGCTGGGTCCCCTTCTGGGTGCCATGGGTGTGCCGGGAGGAACCAAGCTGCTCACTGGCACGGTGATGGTGGGCTCTGTCTCGGGGAACCCTTTTATATGCTCCCAAATTTTCTATGTTTCTCCCTGAAGGCCAGCGTTGTCTCCTGGCTGTTCGGGGTTGTCAGCCAGGGCACGGAGTGGGACCGGTGCTGTTCCTCTCTCTGCGCCCTTTTGGGTGACGGTGACGGTACATCAAGAGCAGCCCAGGAGCGGGTGCCCCTGCCCCAGGGCACAGGGGCCTCCTCGCTGGGTGTTGTTCTTCTTGGCACTGGAATAAAAGGGATGGAGCGAAGGTTGGGCTGGTGCTGGCATTTCCTTGCCCCGGCGTTGCACCCTGGCATCCTCCTGGCCGTGCCGGTGGGGGCCGTGCCGCAGTCCTGCTGGTGTGAGGGGCCTCAGGCTCATCTTTTGGCACTGGGCGGGGGCAAAGTCCCCCGAGGGCCAGTGGTGGTATTTTGGCATGCAGATACTTGAGCCATATCGTCTGAGGAGACTGGGGTCTGGTGAGGGGCTATGAGGCAGCTCCTGGCTCGGGGGATTTGGGAAGTGGCCGCAGCAGTGGTGTGGCTGTGGGCACCACGTGGGCTGTGTGCCCCCCCTCCCCAGGGAACCCCAGCGCCCTGCTGCGTCATTTGGGTTTTCTTTCGGGGGAAACCACATTGCAGTGTCGTGCCAAACACCGAAATAAGAGTCCTGGAAATGGAGACGTGGCACTGGGTTTTTCTTGATCGTCTTCCCTGCTCCTGGGTGAGGCCATGGTTCCTCCTTTTGGCTCTCCCAGGGGGACAGATATCGTGTGGATGGCAAACAAGCACCTGTGGCACCCAGAGCTCAGCTGGTTGGTGTTGGTGGGAGCAGGGAGGTGACAGAGGAGCACAGGGCACTGGGTGCTGCCATGAGAGTGGCCTCTGGCCCGTCACTGCCCACTGGACATCCACGGGTGCTGTGGGGAGGCTGTGGCTGCTGACCTCATCCCAGCAGGAGGACAGGGACGTATTGCACTTGGCAGGTCCCCAAGATAAACATTCCTGTTCCCGCCACCTTTCTGCCCTGCTGGGAACAGGGATAACGAAACTCGCTGGGGAATTAGGGACTTTTTACCAGGCAGTGCCAGGGCCTGCAGCTCAGGTGGCTGTGCCTGCACTGGCTCCTGGCCTTGGGGGTGCTGGGGAATGGGACTGGTGGGTTGTTGAAACTGTGTCTGCTGCCAAGGGGCTGGCTCAAGGGATGAGGGGGCTCTGCTGTGGGACAGGGGAGAGGGTCCTGGTCCTGCCCTTGCTCAGGCTTCCCACAGCCAAGCACCAGCGTGAAGCCTGGGTTGGGTCCTGGGGGGTTCCTCTGTGCTAAGCTGTTGTCCTGCCCCAGGTGGGACACCCAGGGGTCAGCAGGCAGGGCTCCCCCCGCTCGCTGTGCATGCTCAGTCCCCTGGGGGCTTAACCCACCTCCCTCTCCTCTTGTGCAGACCCTGCCTTGCCCCTGACCCCAGAGTGTCAGGGGGCAAACCAGCACGTCCCAGAGTCCTGTGACGCCCCTTGGCTCAGCCAATGCTCCACGTGATGGACACGGGGGCCCAACCGAGCCCCGCTCCTTCATCCCTGGGGGCCCATGGATGCTCGCCCAGGAGCGGGTGGGACACACGGTGTGCTGATCATGGGCTTGCCTGAGGGACGTTCGCCCCAGGTGTAGGGGACGTGGAGCATAGGGGGCGTGGAGTGCCGGGGACAGCAGGCACGTTCTGGGAACTAGGGGACATGGGGGCACGGGCCCTCTGGACACGCAGCGGGGCCGGTGCGGGTCCCGGTACCGTGGCATCGCGGCACGTCGGCGGGGCCGTGGCCGGGGGCGGCTCGCGGTGAGTCACGGCGCTGCCGCTCGCCCCGCCCCGGGGCCGCCCCATAAAGCGGGGCCGCCCCATAAAGCGCCGCCGCCGCGAGCGCCGCCGCCCCATGGCTGAGCTACGGTCTGCCCGTACGGAGGGGACGGGGGGACAGCCCTGGGGGGCACCAGCCGCCATCTGAGGGACCCCGGGAGGGGATGCCGGGGGGAACGGGACCATCCCAGGCTCATGGCATGCTGGGGAGGCGCTGGGTGGATCTTGGTTAACTGGGGAGATGCGGGGGGACGAGCCCAGGGGTTGCTGGGGGGGAGATGCTGGAGGGACCGTGACCAGCTGGGAGGATGCTGAGGGGACGGAACCATCCCAGGCTCGTGGGGAGCATCCCAGCATGTCCAGCACTGAGCTCCATCTCTGCCTGCAGGGCCCCTGGGACTCCCTGCCTGGCTCCTTCTGCTTCTGCCCTGCTGGGTCCTGGCTCTTCTCTGTGCAGGTAGGTGGGGGTTTCTGGGCGAGCCGGGGAGGCCAGGTCATCTCTGGGCTCTGTGCCCCTCGAGGGGCCTGTGCAGGGTTCTGGGGGTGAGGAGTGCTCCCATGCCTCTATGGCACCCTGCCCTCTCACCCACCCCAGAGATGTGGGGTCTCAGAGGGTCGCTCTTGACCTCCTGCCTTACTCCACTCTGCTCCCCCAGGTGCCATGGCCCTGCAGCTCCCCACCATCACCATCCTGCGGATGCCAGCAGAGGCCCCCCGTCCAGGTGAGAGACCCCTGGGGCCATGGCAGAGATGGCCTAGGGATGGGGAAGCTGCAGTGAGCCCCCCAGTTGGGGGAGGCACAGTGGGGTCAGCTCCTGCACCAGCACCCGGCACACACACAAGGTGCATCTTCCACCCACAGCCAAGATTTTGGGTTGCTGATGAGGTGGGGGGACATTCTCCATTGTTGAGGGGGGCAGAGGGGCTGTGACTGTGGCCAGCCTGAACGGGGGGGCAGTGGGGACCCTTGCAGCCCTCCTGATCCCCACGTCCCCTCCGGCTGCAGGCGAGAGCGTGGTGGTGTCATGCGAGGCGACAAGTGGGCTCCCAGAGCTGACGCTGCTCTACTGGCTGGGGAACGGCTCCTTTGTGGAGAGCCTGTACCCAGACGGGGCTGTGCACGAGGGGACAGTGCAGTGAGTATGGGGACGGGGGACATGGGGGGGCAGAGGCAGCGGGGTGGCCCCGTTTGGGGCAGAGCCCCTGGATCTGCCAGCCCGGGGTGGGCACTGATGGGTCCCCCCTGGGTCTGCAGAGAGGAGCTGCGGGGCTCGGGGGCGGCCCTGCGCCGTGACCTGCACTTCAGCTCCTTCAACACCCAGCACCTGCTCACCAACTTCACCTGCGTGGTGCTCAGTCCTCTCGGTGTCGACACCAGGGAGGTGCGATGGCCCCAGCCAGCACCAGCCTGTGTCACTGTCGAGAGTGGGGGGCTGGGCTGACACCAGGGAGCAACTCGTGAGGGGTGAGTGCCCCGCAGTGAGGGTCCCTGCTCCAACAGCCCCGCACCGTGCGCGTGTGACACCTCCATGGAGGCCCATCTCCGTGACCTGCTGTGGGGACCACATGGCCCCACATGTGCCAGCCCACTGAGCCTGGGGCTTCTGGTGCCTGGGCCGACCCCAGCCTTGCCTGTAGCTGGCTATGGGACCCCAGGGTTTATTAAAGTACATCGAGGCTGCCCCGTTGTCACCTGCATCCTGGGGATGGTGCTGCCCATGAGTGCACAGGGCACCTGTGGGATGAGGAGGGAGGGAGAGGAAGTGGCCCTGGTGCCCACAAAGGGCAGGATCCATTTCTGCCCCCCTCCCTGCCTGGTGAAGTGGTGGAAAACCATGGTCAGTCCCAGTTCTGCCCAGGGAATGCCTGGCCCTATGGCTGTGCCCTGCCCCGGAGGAGGAGGGTACGTGGGGAAGCCCTGGGGTGCAGGGACCCCAGGGAGATAGGCCCATCACATCCCCCTCTGCATCTGGGGCTGTCCCCCAGCATGGCATTGCTGAGCCCCAAGTCCTGTTCCATGGGGCAGCCCCCCTAACCATGCTGTCCTGGCAGGGCTCCTGCTCTTGGGTACTGGGGCTGGGGTCGCTGGTGCCAGCCCCCTCCCTGCTACCTCGTGTGCTCGTGGGGGCTGTGACTCCCCTGGGCTGTGGGACAGCCTGGACCCCTTGAGCAAGACTGGGCTGCAGGCATTGCACTGCAGCACAGGATGTAGGAGGGATAGAGGGGGCTGAAGAAGCCCCCAGCTGCAGCCCCCATGAGCTGCCCTCAGTCCAGGGAACCGCAGGAGACTCCTGGGGACACCCCTGTCCCACAGCTACTCTCAGGAGCCAGGAGAAGGTGAGCAGCGGAGCAGCCACCTGGGCAGGGACCTGCCCAATACAGCCCTGCTGCACCCCCAAGCCCTGTTGATTCCAGCCCCCATCCCTGGGACAGCCCCTCGCAGACCCCACACTCAGCTGCATCCTTACACCCATCCTGATGTCTTCTTGATGGGGTCGAGGTCCCGCCAGTGTTGGGGGCTGTCAGTGGCCGGGTCCTGGCCAGCAGATGCTCCGCAGAGGGCAGAGCCCCCGAGGGAAGCCCACAGATGCCGAGGTGCTGTGGACAGGGAAGCAACTGGTTACTCTGCGAGTGCCTGGGGAGGTGGGGCAGCAGGAGCAGGGCCAACTCAGGGAGGGTGGTGGGGCTTGGGAGGTGGCTGTGGAGAGAGGCAGGGCAGGCTGGGGGAAAGCACCCCCTGCTCCATCCCTGGCCAGAGCCCCTCCTTGGCACATGTCCCGGCACCAACCCAGACCCCAGTGCTGGCACCAGCTGAGACCTGCCCTGCTGTGTCACCCACCGGGAGCAACCCCCTTGGGATCCCAGCCAGAAGTGTGTCCTGAGCCTCGTGGGTGCGGGTCAGGGTGCTCCTGACCGGGGGTGCGGTGCTTGCACCAATCCCTCTCTCATGCTGCTGAGGACACAGTAGGCTGTGGCTCAGATCAGCAGCAACATTCTCCCAGGGAACCCCTGTGTCTGCACAGCACGGCACGGAACACGGAGGATCAGAGACAAAGGGGGGACCATGGGGCCAACACTGGTGACGCTGGGGTGGCAGCCCACAGCTGGGCCCCCAGCCTCACTTCCAAGCCAGAGTGAACCCCCAAAACATCATCACTCATCCGGCTGAGCCACCTCTGGCTGCTCCTGTGACAGCCTCGGCCGTGCTCACCTGTCACCCCACACACCAGCAGGGTCCATGTGCCTCGGGAGCAGGGTCCATGTGCCTCGGGAGCAGGGTTCCTGTCCCTCAGGAGCAGGGTCCATGTCCCTTGGGAGCAGGGTTCCTGTCCCTCAGGAGCAGGGTCCATGTCCCTTGGGAGCAGGGTTCCTGTCCCTCAGGAGCAGGGTCCATGTCCCTTGGGAGCAGGGTCCATGTCCCTCAGGAGCAGGGTTCCTGTCCCTCAGGAGCAGGGTCCATGTCCCTTGGGAGCAGGGTTCCTGTCCCTCAGGAGCAGGGTCCATGTCCCTCCGGAGCAGGGTCCATGTCCCTCAGGAGCAGGGTCCATGTCCCTCGGGAGCAGGATCCATGTCTCTCAGGAGCAGGGTCCATGTCCCTCCGGAGCAGGGTCCATGTCCCTCGGGAGCAGGGTTCCTGTCCCTCAGGAGCAGGGTCCATGTCCCTCGGGAGCAGGGTCCACGTCCCTCAGGAGCAGGGTTCCTGTCCCTCAGGAGCAGGGTCCATGTCCCTTGGGAGCAGGGTTCCTGTCCCTCAGGAGCAGGGTCCATGTCCCTCGGGAGCAGGGTCCACGTCCCTTGGGAGCAGAATCCTCCCCAGACGAGAGGCCCTATCAGCCAGTGGGGAGATGGACAACAGCCAAACATGGGGGGATACCCATGGGTGATGAGGGTCGGGGGATGAGAGTTGGAGGTGCTGGGGACATGGAAGGGTCTTGCATCTTCCTGGGATGGCACACAGAGGATTTACCGTAGTGGGGGGAGTGTGAGTGGACAAGTGGCACTGCCTCTGGTTGGGGGCAGGAATCCAGCTGGGGGGGACCCTGGTAAGAGGAAGGAGACACTGTCCTCTTGGGGAGCCCTGGGACTAGGAGAAAGCTCCAGTGTGAGGAGAGAGCCTGGCCAGGGCAGCCCTGGAGGCCAAGGAGAAAGGGAAAGCAAAACCACAAAGCTTCTGTGCTCACTTTACTGTAAATTAGTCTTGTTCCCATTAGTGGCTGCTTCTGCTTACTGTGACCTGTGGATGTGTCCACGTGGGAGCAAGAAACCCCAAGGTGTCTGTGGCCATGGATATGTCTGTGCTGCAGCAGGAGCATCTCTGAAGGGAATGTGGCCCAAGGACAAGACCACGCTGGAGAAGGTACATCTTGAAGCATCCGTGGCTGTGCAGGAAGTCATGCTGGAGCACCCTGAAGTGTGTGACCATGGATAAACCCACAGCAGAGCAGGTACACCCCTGGAAGGACTGCAGCCATGGAGAAGGTCACACTGGAGCAGGTATATGCCCCATCCCTGGAAGTGTTCAGTGTTGGATGGAGCTTGGAGTGACTTGATCTAGTGGAAGGTATCCCTGCCCATGGCACAGGGTTGGAACAAGATGACTTAAAGGTCCTTCCCAACCCAAACCATTCTGTGATTCTATGATTTTGTGAACATTTGTGGACATTTTCTGGGCATTTTATGGACATTTCACAGGAGTGGTCCACAGACAAAGGGAATGATATCTGTGTATGATAGCAAAGGGTGGTGGTGGGTATTGGATAGTGTGGGACCTGAGCAGGATGTACATGGCATAGAGTAAGAGGTGGAGAATGTGCTGCATTGGGCAGGGAGGAAGAGTTCCAATTCTTCCCTGACTGTGTTTTGGATTTGTGCTGGATGGAGCATTGATAACCCCTGGATGTTTCAGTCAGCGCTGAGCATCTTTGCTGCTCCTCACGCTGCCCCAGCAGCAGAATGTTGGAGTTTTTGATCGTGGGTTGGTTTGGCCGACACCAAGCGTGCTGGTAACATCCCTGTCTCTGAGGGGCATAGGATCTTTGCACAGGAGTTAGCAGGGCATGTTGGGTGAGAGTTAAACTGGATTTGAAGGGGGGAGGGGATAAAATCAGGTCACTGGAGATAATCCTGGGGGTGACACGCCAGTGTTGAGGGACTGTGTGCTAGCGAGGTCCTTCAGTCTGCCATCTCAGTAGAGGTAGGGAATGGAGATCCATGCAACAGCAAGGATGAAAGTGTTACTGATGTGCTAGAAACCATGGAAGCTCCTGAGAATGGTCACTCAGGAACTGGAGCTTCTCTCCCCAAAAAGGCATTGGGATCAATAACCTCCCTGAAGTGCATCTGCCCCAATGCCCACAGCATGGGCAGCAAACAGAAGGACCTGGAAGCCACGGTGCAACAGGAAAACTGTGGCATAGTTGCCATCATGGGGACGTGGTGGGATGACTGGCACAACTGGAGTGGTGCAATGGATGGTGGTGAACTCTTCAGAAGGGACAGGCAAGGACTGGGAGGTGGTGGGGTAGCCCTGTAATTTAACATATTTAGTAGTGGGAGGCCTGGCAATCTGCTAAGAGAGTGATGGGACATCTTTAAGTCTGTCTGGTTTGGCCAGGAGGAGCTGTTAGGGGATGGACAGTTCTGACTGTGAGAGCACTCTACAAGGAGGTGCTTGAAGTTAAGACAAGACTCATCAGACTAATTCAGTAAACACTTTCCTAAAGACCAAAGTAAATGTGAAACAACTGTTTTAGAAAGCCTTGTTAGAATTTTTTTTAATATATTGTAAGCTGAGAATTGAAATCTGCAGGTAAATTTTGTTTTAAGGTTGTGCCTCACACAGAAAAAGACATAACCATGTGCTTTCCATTGCAGAAGAACCTGAGGCTCCCACAGAATCGCTCTGGTTAGACGGCAGCTCGGGAGATCTTCAGTCCAACCCCCTGCTGCAAGCAGGACCACCTCTGGGATCAGAGGAGGCAGCTCAGCATTTTCTACAGCTGGGTCCTAAAATCTCTCAAGGATGGAGCCTGCACACCTTCATTAGGCAACCTGCTCCACTGTCTGCCTGATATCACAGGGCAACTTTTTTCCACGCATTAACCTCATCCTCCCTTGGCCAGGCTGTGTGCCCGGTTCCCCCACACTTTTCTCACAGTCACATGTACCCCTGCCCACTTTGGTGGCTCTCCACCAGACCATTTCAGTTGATCTGTATTTTCCCAGGGAAGGGCCTGTCACCCAGCACATGCTGGATGTGTGGACACCTGCAGTTTCCCCAAACTGGGGAGCTTGACTTCATCTTTTGTGATGATGGCAAACCGCTCACGTGTCCAGAAATTCAAGCACGCAGCAGTAACCGGGGTTTGTTGGGAAGAAACCATGAGATTAATAAATCCTTGGGCTTTCTAACAGAGCAAATTAAAATCTCAGTTACTTTTGCCACTGTAGTGTTCTGAATCATCGTGGCTAGGCTTCGCAAATGAAGATTTGGGAGAGGCTCTATCCACATTTGTTACAAGCACGCTGGTGGCTAATAAGGCCAATACGAGAAAGACATGTCCGATTGCAAAAGGCACAGCAGAAAGACTCCCCAGGTGGTCAGTGTTCTGAATAAGGCTGGTGTAAAAGCCCTTCTACTCCTGTGCCCAAGCGAGCACTGCAGAGTTTCCCGGAAAACGGCAAAAAGTCCTGAACTGCAGAAATCCACGGCACCGACATCGCAGCGACCTTTCCAACTCCAAGGTACCAAGAACCCGATTGTTCCACTTCCCGTTTTACATGGCTTTGCCCTGTGGAAGTACTGCGCGTTGGAAGCTTGCAGATTTCTTTTTCATAGCAACGCCCCCCCAGCACCGGTGTGTTGGGTGTAATAAAACGCGTTCGGTGCCATGAACTCGTTCCGTGCGGTGACAGCCCCGTTCGCTCTCCCCGGCGCCGTTCGCGCCCCCGCGCCGCTCTCTCGCCACAAGATGGCGGCGGGGGCGGCGCTGTGGGCGCGGGCGGCGGGGGGCGCTGCGGGGCCGGGCGGGGCCGGGACGCGGCGCGGGGCGGCCGGAGCCGAGCGGGCGGGCGGTGTCGGGGCCGCGCGGGGCCGCCCGGTCGGTGCCCGGCGGGATGTTCCGCAAGGCGCGGAGGGTGAACGTGCGGAAGCGGAACGACTCGGAGGAGGAGGACGAGGAGCGCGACGAGGAGCCGCCTCAGGAGCCGCCGGCGGCGGCGGCGGCGGCGGCGGCCGGGGCGGGGGGGGAAGGGCCCAGCGAGGCCTCCATGTCGCTGGCGGCGGGCGCCGGGCTCCTGCCGCTGCCCGCGGGCTGCGTGCCCCTCGCCCTGCCCGGCAGCCCCGCGGCCTTCGCCTGCGCTGCGAGCTACGGCGCGGCGCTCGGGCTGGGGCTCGGCTTGATGGGAGGCGACCGGGCAGGCCTGGGGGCTCTGCCGGCGCCCGCCCTCCTGCCCCCCCCGCCGCCGCCGCCGCAGCCCCAGCAGGGCAACGGGCTGCCGGCGGCCGGCCGCCCCAAGGAGAAGAAGCGGCCGCGAGAGAACAAAGAGGTGCCGCGGGCCAGCCTGCTCAGCTTCCAGGACGAGGAAGAGGGTGAGACGGGAGGCTGCCCGGCCTTTGGCTCGCCGCTCGCGGGGGTGGAAGGGGCCCGGGGCTGCTCGGCCTGCCCCCGCCGGCCGCGCGCCCTCGGCCCCCGCGGAAAGCCGGGACCCTTATTTATTTTTGAAGGCGGTCGGGTTGCCGCGTGTGATGTGGGGTCGCCTGAGAGGAGGAGGGCCCTGGCGGCGCGGTGCGGGCGGGCAGGGAGCGCCCCGTCGGTCCCGCTGCTCTTCCCCGGCCCGGCGCGGCTCCTGCGGGGCCAGCGCGCTCCCAGCACCGCGGAGCAGCGGGGTTAATTCTGGTGTAGGGGTTTCAGTTGCCTCCCCTTCTGTGTTGCCGGGGCCTGACCGTTGCCCCCGTGCTGCGTACGCTGCACGTGGCGGCCCGCAGGTAGGGGTTTGTGCGGCGGGGGTTGCTGGGCCCGCCTGTGCCAACCTGCCGCTTTCCCCCGGCACCGGCGGGGTTGGCCGAGGAGCATCTGCCCCGGGGCTTTGTGCCGGGTTTGTTTTCATCTGCAGTGGCTGCTGTTCACGGGTCACGTCGGACTGCCTTTTTGCCCTGGCACTTCGTAGGTGTCTTAGAAGGAATTCTCTTGTAACTACCAGAACTTGGTTTCTAAGATTTGTGATTAGAAATCTTGACAGAAATACTGAAAACATGAAATAATGCTATAGACTTTGAAAAGCCCTGGCAGTTGTTTGTTAATGGCGTTTCTGAAGTTCTAGGTACAAAATTAAGATACTTAATAGGTAAGTATACTTGATGGTGGGTCTAATGTAATGTTTTCCAATTTCTCTTTTAAAGAAACTGAAGAAGTTTTTAAAGTGAAGAAATCAAGTTACAGCAAAAAGATTGTAAAGCAGTTGAAGAAAGAATACAAAGAAGATCTTGAAAAATCAAAAGTTAGAACAGAGGTCAATTCTCCAACAGATGGTAACTGCAAAACTAATAGTAACTTTTGTAGTGGGAAAGATGGAGTATTGTAATTTCTGTTTTTTGTTTCCAAGAGGAATTGTTAGACTTCTAGAGGATTTCATGTTTAGAGCTGAAGTAAAGCGCACATTAAGTGTGTTACTTGAGCCTTACAGATGCTGTTCTGAGGGTGGTAGAGAGTTCTTTGAATCTCTCCTATGTGGAAATTAATATAGAAGGATGAAACTTCTCAGCTCTGTGTACGGTTGTCAGTAGACATCAGTTTTCTGAATTTCAGCTGTGGTTATGACAAATGAGTTTCTTACTGAGTTAGGAAGGAGTTATACTGGTGCTTGTCTGACAGGATGTGTCCTTGTAATGCATCTTTTTCAAAGAGGAAGACTTTCGGGGTGAGCAGAGTGGTGTTCTTTGTCATTAAGTAAGCTGCCTGTTTCAAGACTTGGACCTTAGAGTAGACCTGATGATTAAGGTGACAGACTGAAAGTGTTGGAGCAGAAGGATCTTTTAACAGTGTACGGTCCTCCACAGCTTGGAGCAGAGCCTGGGACTTCAGTTCCAGTTGTACTGTTGTTTTTTGGGAAGCTCATTGGTAAAGTGTAGTGATTCCTTTTCCAGTTACGTTTTTGCATACAGTATATAATGCTGTGAGCATGAGCTGAGAGGCTTATGATGTAAAGATTGCAATGGTACAGCTGAAGCGTATGGGAGCTGAACACGGTCCCATGCAGGAAATGCCCTTTTTATATTTAATTAAATTATTTTTTAAAAACTCTTAAAGGTTTTTTAAAGGTTTTGTCTGTGTTTAGAAAACCCACAAATTCTTTCTTACTAGAATCTTTAAGTTGCCTGTGCATTGGTGTGGGGCAGAAATGGTCATTTGTGTGTGTAGTGTTCAGGGTCATCTGTGAAAGCCTGGATCTTAATTCTTGCTTCTGTCACAAAGATCGTTAAAAAATTGCATTTTGCACATGGCTGTGTGTGCCTATTTTCTGTTTGTTTTGCTGTCCCTAATTGATGTGGTTATGGTGTAAAGACCTTATGGCTGCTACTTGAGTTAGTAGCCTGGATTCTCTACTCAAATGCTTGAGTCTAAAACCTCAGCTATGTGCAGCTGAGTTTAACTTGCACTGTTTTACACAGTATTTGTACTTTCTGCCTGTATCTGTCTGTATGTTACCCACCTGATGTAAGGGGTTGTTGCACCCAGCCCAAGACGAAAATGAAAGCTTCCTTTGAGATGAGTTTGTTCTTGTGGAAAGATTGGGTGTAGTACAGGCAATGCTTTCTCATCACATAGGTAAGAGACAAGGTTGCCTATATGATCTCGAGTTCCCTTACTTTCTTGATACCTGGCAATATGGAGAATGTTTAGTGGCTGTTGGTGTGCCTGCCTTGTCAGATTTTATTCTGAGAGGATGTCAGTGACTTAACCACAGTTAAGAAAGCATATTTTACTAGATCGCAAGCAATAACATTATAATTAAAAATTTTAATTTGATTTTTCCTTTTGGTTTTTATATCTTAAAAAAAATACTTCCGAGTGATCTTTATAAAAGGAGTAAAACATGGGCTTTGTTGTCTTATCAGTCGAAGCACCACTAGAAAAGACAGGACAGAATAAGGATCTAGGCCAAGAAGATGGGACTGCAAACAGTGAGCATGGTGAAGAAGAAATGGAAGTTGAAAGTGAGAAGGAAGATGAAAAACTGAAAGCTGGTGGGGCGTTTTCGAATGCTCTGTCCTCCCTGAATGTTCTCCGCCCAGGTTGGTCTTTGTAATTTGTCTGATAAGTTAGCAAATGCTTTAGCCAATGTTTACAGCAGACTAATGTGCATGAGAGGTTAGGAAACAGTTTCCAACAATATATCTGGCATCTGAGAAGTCAAGAAACTGCTGTTTTCTAAAGGGGTTCAGTTTCACGAGCCTTACAAGAGAAAACGTTTTGCTACAGAGTGCTTCATCTTGATGTCAAAAGAAGGAATTTGTCTCCCAAGTAGATGACAAGCTGTAAGAAAATCTAGATTGGTGATAGATGACTTCACATGAGATTTAACTGCTGTTGGTTAAAATCTGTTCTTTAATTCAGGTGTTTCAGTTATGGGTCCGCAAGGGATCGGAAATATTTCCCTAACCTGTTTGGTATAATGAGGTTCTAGTCAGACCCTGAGGCCAAAGAAATCAGTCTGAGAAAGTATTTTTGAAACTGGTTTGCTAATTGTGGTAGTCTGCTCACCAAATATAAGGTGGATGTCCTGGGAACTGTTCTTTATGTGACTTACATAAGTTACATTGCTTTTGTGCTGTAGATTTTAGAGTTTTTCATTAGGTCCACTTTTCTTGTTTCTCTTCAAGTTGTACAATCTTCTCATGTTAACTTTGTCTGGTTTGGTGTCTTCTTAGTCTCTGAGCTGTCATCATCTGTTGAAATGGTTGATGCTTTTTGTTCCCCCAAAATAAGAAGAGCTGGGAGCAATATCAGGACAGGAGGTGACACAGTCACGCACCTCAATTTCTTCCTCCCTTTGCAATAGTCAGCTCCTGCAAAGGGCTCCCTCTTCTATAGGAGTGTTTCCTATAGGAACATCAGGCTTCTGCTCTTATGACGTGTGAGCTGCCGGAAGCAGAGCCACACTTTTTGTGAAGATCCCACCTTTGAGGGTTTCTGGTCAGAAAGTTTACATGTTTAGCTTGCAGGTGTTTCTGTGAGTATGGATTCGTTTCCTCCCGTGTTCGTTTTTCCTGTGTGCAGAGATGATTTGGTAGGGCGGCAGAGATGAGTGATAAGAAATCATAATGCCCGTTTTGTTGCAGTGGTTGTTTAATGGTGCACACATCTGTCTCTAGGAGAAATTCCAGATGCTGCTTTTATTCATGCCGCTAGGAAAAAGCGTCAGATGGCTCGTGAGCTCGGAGACTTTACCCCCGTTGAGAGCGAACCGGGGAAAGGCCGCCTCGTCCGAGAAGACGAAAATGATGCCAGTGACGATGAAGATGATGACGAGAAGAGGAGGATAGTTTTTACAGTGAAGGAAAAATCCCAAAGGCAAAAGATTGCCGAGGAAATAGGTAAAACCTTTTTAGAAGGACGGCTGATAAACATTCACACTGTTTTCACTGCGAATTCTCCCATTAAGCATTTTTAAAGAACATGTGTTTTTCAAACAATCTGGAGTTCTATTCCTGTGCTGAGAAAAAGTACTACCTAATGGAATCTGCTTATAAAATGTTGAGCACAAAACTATGTTCCTGTGCACACTGCTGAATCTAATAGAAACTTCCACTAAGGATCAGTTCTTATTTTTCCTGTACTCTGCTTTTAGGAAGTATATAGTCGTGAAAAGAAAAACATTTGATATAGAATTCTCTTTGCTGACAAGCAGTTAAAATAACCTCTTGGAAGATGAGAATTAGTAAGATACATAGGTTTTTAACGTTAGAGGGTTTTACCAGCGGTGAATTGCAGATTTACTCCTTGGATCTTTCAGGTGGAATCCCTATGCTAATAATTCACAGGTCGATGTCCTTAATTCCTCCTGAGGAGGAAAGGAAGATGCTCTGACTTCTCACTGAGGAGTGGTCACAGGTTTTTTAAGTTATGGCCCTTACTATGAATGCATTATCTCCTCCTTTTCCTTACTTGTCTGTTTTACTTGTATGAAGGTATTGAGGGAAGTGATGATGAAGCACTGGTGGCAGGGGAGCAAGATGAAGAACTCAGTAGATGGGAGCAAGAGCAGATACGAAAAGGAATCAACATACCCCAGGCATGTATATAACTGAACTCAGGTTTGGTTTGTTTCTGCATGTATTGGCTAAATCTGTTACAAACTTGAGTAGTTTCCAGAAGGCTTTTTTATCTGAGAAATTCACTGTGTAAATGCTGATATTCTTTAAAGAGAACTAGTATAAATATTTAGAATTATAATGATACTGAGAATTTGTCCATTTAAGAAGGTGCTTCTGAGGGTATTAATTTCTTCCACTTTAAAGGAGAGGTTGGAAGTTCTATGCTTAAATCCCCTTGATAATGACATTTTGTAAACGTATTTGGTTACATTTTTCACTTTATAAAGCGTGAGATGTGTAAGAAAGTAAGTTTCTCCTTTCTTTAAAGCCTAATATAGTACAATTGGATTTCCTCTGCCACTAGGTTCAACCAAGTCAGCCTGCTGAAGTGAATAATCTGTACTACCAGAACACTTACCAGACACTGTCTTATGGTTCATCGTATGGTATCCCATACACCTACGCTGCGTATGGATCATCGGAGACCAAGGCTCAAAAAACAGATAATACAGTTCCTTTCAAAACTCCCAGTAATGAGATGACTCCTGTTACTATTGATTTGGTAAAGAAACAGCTTAAAGACAGGTAGGACAGACCATCTTTTTAGACTTAAAGACCTGTCCCCTAGGTTTCTGTTCCTCAGGTGTCTTTAGTCTCGGTGAGCAAACACAGAGTTTCATCGCTGGAAAAGTACTGACTGGCACATCCACTTAAAAAAAAAAAAGGCAAACAAAAAAGCTCAGAATGAAGATGGCATTGACACTTTGTTCGAAACTCTCCTTGGATTGCTTCTCTGGAAGTGAAGCTTTAAATATGAGGCCATTGATGTTGTTGAAGACAGGTCTGAGTTGCATCTTCTGGACACTGCACAGTCTTATAGTGAAGAAGTGAAAGGCCAGTGAGGTGTTCAGCTTATCAAGCTGCATTCTTTTAAACTATGAATCAGAGTTTTCCCCTTCAGTAGATGAAGAATTCAATTTTTAGTGTATACAGGGGTGGTTTTTTTTTTTTTGGTTGGGTGGGTTTTTTTGTTTTTTTTTTTTTTTTTTTTTTTTTTGGTTTAAACACTGTAATCTGCTTGTCAGGTACACAAAAGGGGTGTGGAATGAACAACGCAATTGCAATGAGAAATCATTTGTAACGAACACCTTGCACTTTACATGTCTTCAAAATTGGTTTGTATGCCCCTTGGCAGCGTTACAGCCTTTGACAGTGAGTCGAGTTAGTAGAGGAAAAAGAGTGCTTTGTATAAGCTGTAGTTCCCCTGTACCTGCAGCCTTGACACCCATCTTTTCTTTGGGGCCAGCCTTGCACTGTTCTAAATGCTGTTCTTACTCCTGTAAGAGTGAGTGGGAGTGGCCATGCAATGCACTCAGCAGAGTGCAGCAAATGAATGCCAACGTTAGCCTTGCTGGTGGTGGAGAGAGGGGACAAAGTGACAAATGAAAGTTGGAGAATGTCTTTGCAGTGTTTCCCGCGTGTGGGCTCAGTACTTGCGCTGTCTGTTTAATATCTCAATGGTCTGAAATAGACTTTTGGATGTAAATTTACTATTTATCCATTGCCCTTCAGGTTGGACTCTATGAAAGAAATGCACAAGGCTAATCGGCAGCAATATGAGAAACATCAGCAAAGCCGAGAGGACTCTACCAAGGCAATTGAAAGATTAGAAGGGTCTTCTGGGGGTATTGGTGAACAGTATAAGTTTTTGCAAGAAATGCGAGGGTATGTCCAAGACTTGCTTGAGTGTTTCAGTGAAAAGGTAAGGATGCAAAAACATTCATCTCTTTTCCAAAAAAAAAAAAAAAAAAAAAAAAGGGGTCTCTTAGTACATGCCAAACACCACATTTCCCTCTGCTCTCAGAAAAAAAGTCCCCTGAGAACTCTTCTGAAGGTTTGGTTATTCAGGGATTGAAAAAATCACTTTTCATCATGCTAAGCTGGTTATCAGGAACCTCTTCCCAGTGTAAGAGATCACTGACTTTAGATTGCCTAAAAACTTGTAGATTTTGTGTCTTTAGGACTTTGGTAGATACGCTGGCATTTCAGCTTTACTCAGATGCTGCTCTTTACTTGTGTTGGACATCAGGTTAGCACAAATAAGGGCTGGATTATGACCTTGCTAGTTTCTGGAGTGCTTCGTGTACACAGTAGCAGAGACTTTTCTTTTTTGTGTTATTATAGACTTCCTCCTGCCAGGCATTACTTGGCATTACTCTGGTCTGAAGGAGAAAAGTTTTAAAAGTAATGTAGCTGTTCAAAGACACCCAAACATAAAAATATCCTTCTTTCATGTAGTGTGATACCTTTGTATATGTCTAACTCAAAAACATATTCGTTATGCTTTGAATACTTACTTTGTTGTAAATATTGTAGGAGCTCCTCAATATATATATATTTATCTATGTATTAGGCACACACAGGAGCTGTAGAATTCAGTTATCAGTATATAGGCTGTTTCTTCATTGTCTTCTGACTTGAATACAGTAGTATAGTAGCTTCTTAATATATTACCTGTCAAAATGACTGAGTAGTTTAAGCTACTGTTTGCCCAGCTCGTTAGGTGTGGGGGGAGGAACAGAAAAGCATTCTGGGTGTTAATGGGTTAGACATTAATTGTCCAGTATTAGTGGAATTGGGAGAGACCAGTCTTCAGTCCTGTGAAGTGAAGAATAACTGTCATGAACAAACCTAGGAAGTGTGGATCAGTTAATTCACCCAGCTGATGGATTAGTGTAACTAATTACCTGCAATTGATTGTTTCCTGATGAAGCCATAATCCCAAATCTGACAGATTTTGTATAAACCTGGAAAACTTACTATTAAGTTACAGTGTAACAATTTCAGTTCAGTTTGTAGGAAGGTTTTTGGCCTCTCTCTATATACTAGTAAATAAATCCATCCCAGCCATTTTACAGCAAACTAACAGGCCTGTTTGGTAAATTAGCAGCAGCTACAGTTGCTTTCCTGGTAGTTGTTCTTTCGAGGATTCCACACCTGGCTGCCTTCCCCCCCCCTCACCGTCCCCACTCCTCATCTGCCATGCCAGTCCGTTGGGCTTCTGAGCCGGGACTTCTCCCATCTCATGCTGCTTAGGGGCGTTCACAGAGGTTTGCTGGTGTCAGGAGGAGGCTGCTGCTGTACTTGTGTGCGCAGTGAGCGGCAAAAGCAGGAGGTGATGTGGTCAGTCTAACGGGAGCATTTCATTTATGGTGATATTATTTGGCCAGATAACGTGGTTTGGAATTCAGTGCTTTCAGCATGACAGAAGTGCCATCCAATTCAGAACCACCAGGCCACAGGACACTACAAGGTTTTCTAAAAAGGTGGGGGGAGGGGGAAAAAAAATCAATTAATAAAATCAGTATCAGTTTTTATTTAAATGAAACGCAGTAGGACAGTAAATTGTCGTTCTGAGTGTAGAGATAAATTACCTTCAGCTTTTTGGTAGAACCTGTGGCCCTAACTGCTTCATATTTAAAGGGTTGCTATTATTGTTTATAGTAATGTGCATAGTTATGCTTATAATATGCATAAGCATATAAAATGTGTATCTATATGTGTAATAATAATAATATTGTACATGTATATAAACATACATATATGAACACATATCTTAGGATATTTTGAAAAGATTCTGAATGTTAGAATCACTTTGCCTATTTGTGAGGCACAGCAGAGAGTATAATGAGACAGCTGTTATGCAGATTTTAGAAACAAGCACTAGAAAGGTCAAAATCCCTGTGATATCTTTTTTTTTTTTTCCCCCATAAATAAGAGAGTGGAAGATGCCTGCATGACTTCCTTGTGAAGTAGTTACTGTCAGAATGATGCTTTCTGGGAAGGCTAGGGAGTGGTAAGGGTGTTTTTACATTTGGAGTGTAGGAATGTACAGTGGATACAGAAAGATGGAATTGTTTCGAGCGTACTTTGACAGCACAGGGAGATGAGCTGTTACTTTACCTGCAAAGCAAATTATCAAAACACACTCTGTGTGTCAGAGGTGTGGGCTGTACCTTAAAATTATCCTTGTGATCTAAATGTTTAGGGAGCTTTCTGCTTTTCCTCTTACACTGTTTACAGTGGAAGTGAACAAAAGACCCCTTGAAAACACCGAATTTAAGGTATTGAGTAAACAAAACAGGGAATGAGGCTTGTAACTTTTTATAGTCAGAGAAATTGTCAGCGACCCATTAACCATGGTATTGATTATAGAAGGATAAGGGCTTCTAAGTCTCTTGTGTTTTAAATGGGAAACACTTTCAAGTGGATTCATATATCTGAATACATCACTGGTTGTTTCTTCTTTTAATCCAGAAAACCTCTGGGGATGCTTTGAACAAATTCATTAAACTTTTCAATGTTAGAATTTCCTTTACATACTTAAGAGAGGAAGGTATATTTTCTCTGGTAAATTGCAGTAAAACTAGTATTTTTTGATTATTATTTCTGTTTTCAGAATTGTCCTAAATTCTCAATATAGACTTCCAGTGCTGGGATATCTTTCTCACTAGTCTTTTTTCCAAAAGAAAGGTGTACATATTTTGAGTTGACCTAGAGTTGCTTTCATTTTAATCCCGGGAGTCCCAATTTATCCCCCAAAGAGCTAATACTTCTTTTCATGTAATATCTCCTCTGATGTGTGTGTCAGTCTCAGCTGAAAAGGCCCTGTAGCTATAATCTCAGAATCTTATATTTTCCTGAAGGAGGTTCTTTAATAGCTGCTGAGTCACATTGTAAATTACATCAGGAAACAATTTCCGATTTCATCTTTTATTTTGAAAAAACCCCATACTCCTGGATGGTAGGCAGCACTGAAATATTTGAGCTAACAGGCTGGAAGACTGGAGTAAGCATTCGTCTGGAGGTAAGGAGGATATGGCTTAAGTGTTCGTGCCAAAGGGACTTGCCTTTCCAAATTAAGAGACTGTGAAAAGCTCTGTTTTGCATTTGGATATTTATAATGATCTAATTTTAACTTGTCCCAGGAAATGAATTTTCGCAGAAGTGATCAATGAACCTGCTATTTAATGTCAGGACTGTTCTAACATCATCTGTTTTTGTTAGAGTTACTACTAAAATTTAGTCCACTAGAAAAAAAAAAAAGTGACAGGTCTGAGCTGACTTACCTGTGTATCATTCAAGGTTATACTTAATGCATAACTTGCACAAATTGTACTGGTTTAGTTTTAGTAATTGTCTAGAGGAACATTTGGCTGATTTGAATTGCCTGTTGGCATGACATGGTTATGCAGGGCTCGATTCCATTTCAGTAATAAGAGTTAGAGCAAAACAATAGCTGCTGGCTTCAGGAGGATGGATTGCTAGGTGTTTTCTTTCACTATGTACAGTTGGGTTATTTTCTCATTTGACTATAGAATACCTCTACATTCTTGCATAAAGATAGGAAACAGCAAGGTCTGAGAATTGTAAACCCTTGTACAACATGTAACGTGCTTGGTAGAGAAAGCAAGAGTACTGGAAAGGCTCTTCCACGCTCTGAAATGATCGTCTTGCTGTGTAGGCTCGTTCAGTCCACAGAAGCTGCTTTCAGAACGCTCGTGCTCTGACTGAACGAGCTGCCAACACTAAATGCATGTATTTTCCACCCCTTCCCAGTGCAGATGATGCAAAGGAGTAAAAGGCAAGAGTTTGTGCTGCTAGGAGCCCAGCCCCAGCGTTATGCTTCGGCATAGGATGGGAGCCCAGAAGCTGAGCAGCTCGAGGACCGGGTGTTACGGAGTGTGTTGTATTTTTACAGGTGCCTCTGATTAACGAGCTGGAGTCTGCAATGCACCAGCTGTACAAACAGCGAGCTTCCCGCCTTGTCCAAAGACGACAAGATGATATTAAAGATGAATCTTCGGAGTTTTCAAGCCATTCAAGTCAGTCCATCTTGAAGGTTTTTATTATTCATTAAACAACCTTGTTTACTTAGTATGACTAAATTGAAATGTAAATGTTTAACGTATGAGTGTCTTAAAAGTTTATCCTTGCTCTAGAGATGGGTAGCAGCACGTTTAGATGAAAGTTCTCTAATCTGTTTTGTTTTGAACTCCAAGCCGCTCTAACTCTGACTTCATCTCTCCTTTCTGTTTCTCTTAACTGTATTTTCTCCTTCCTAGCACTGAAGGTGTATGCATGGTGGCAGTGGAAATAGTGGTAGCATGTGTCTCCCCATTTTCCTCTTATGTCAGGACTTTTTAAAAATTTGTTTTAACCTTCCTGAATCTGTACATGGCATTTAACATCTACAGTTAGTTCTGTACAAAGCCATGAAGCACTGGGCTAGACTTCTGTGTAATGCTCTGGTTTGTAGCCAGCATAAGTATTTAATTTCAGGCACTTAACTGGGAAAGGTAAAGAACTGGAAGACTAATCAGACTAATACAGAGTGACCCTATATGAAATACAGCTTAAGATTAGCCAGTTCAAAGTCCTGCTTGCTGTGAATTTGTGGATGGGAGGTTCTCACTGAGGAGGTTTCCTGTGGTTATTACTCTTCAGTATGTAAAACTCTCCAAAAGTATAAGTGTTAACTTGGATGGAAATATATGTTTCTTGGAGGTTTTATTCAAAAAAACTGACAGTTAAAATATCTGAGGAATTGGAGTCCTCCTTCTGCTTCAGAGAGCTTCCCATTTTTAGAAATGGCTTTCTTGTCTGTCCTACTGCTGATGTAAAATCCTATAATAGAAGCCATTTCCTGCTCTGTCACAGTGTGTCCAGAGATGAAATCTTTTAATACCATTAGGTAGAATTTACCGAGGATGATGAAGTGTTAGGGTGTCACAGTTGCTATTCCTTTCCAGAGTGGCTAGCACACATATTCCTTTTAGGACTGTGTTTGGAGCCCCAGGCATCACACGTAGGCCTTGCAGTTTTACCATGAAAACGCTGTTGTGAGGATGTGAGAACTGGAAACCTGGTGTACTAGAAATGTATTTCCTAAAAGAAGCTTGGAATAGATTCTTCTAGACTGAAATTTAATGGGGGTGTGGGAATAGTTGTCATGGCTGAGGTTGGGTTTTACAGGGAGCTCTTCCACAGTGTCTGGAAGTTTTGAGAGGGCTCTTAGTAGTTCTGGTATTGAATTGGAATACTGACATAGATCATCATTAATACTTGTAATGATGAATTTGTAAATAGATTTAGTTAGAACATGTAAATTTACTCCAGAAGTTTGGATAGGCTGGTTTTTAAATGTTAATATTTCAGTGGGTGGACCTGAGCACTAGTTAGCATTCAGTCCACTGTTTAAAATTGACCTGGGAAGAAGGAACTGGAAACACTCTTACGTGCTTTCTGTAACCAGGAACATCTATAATCACAGCTTGAAGAGGAAGGAAGATGATTTGTCTTCCTGTAGATTTTGATGTGTTTTAAACTTCAGGCAGTCTAAAGAACTTAGTCTAATGAACTTAGAAACACAATGACTAGAACTGTGAAACGTTTTATGTTCTTGCTCCAGTCACTATTCCCTGACCTTCGTTTTGTTACTTTTCTTTTCAAAAGTTACATGGTGAATGTGTTTATGTAAGGAGCACTTTTTGTCTTGAGCCATTCAATTTAAGCAATTTCTGTTATAACTGCTGACTCTTATGTAGTTGGGCACCGTTGTGAGACGGACAAGAGTGAAGTATGGTGAAAACTATTTGACATTTAAGGGGAAATTTTTCCAAACTCCGCTGCTTTCTGTTTTAACCTCTACACTTGGGGAATTCAGGCTTCTGTTTTGTTTTGTTTTGTTTTGTTTTTTAAAAACTTCAACTTTCTACTTCAAATTACGCTTAGTTTAAAAGTAGGTAAAAGGCTCTTATGAAACTGCCTACAGCACATTTCTAGAATCATAAATAAGCATTTTAATTTTCGCCAATGTAATTTTACAGATAAAGCACTGATGGCACCAAATCTTGATTCTTTTGGGCGAGACAGAGTGATCTATCAAGAACAAGTCAAGCGCCGAACTGCAGAAAGAGAGGCTAGAAGGTAGAGGATGAGATTTCTTGTCCACTGAGGAGTCTTTGCCTGCTTACATGATACAACTGTCCTGTGTGACAGTGGCAATGTTGCTTCTTCCCTGCAAAGGGAAGAAAACACTTCACCTGGTATGCTGGGCCAGGGGTATTCTTATATATCCCAGTTTACCATGCAAGTGTACAGAACAAGGAATCGTTGCATGATTCTGATTTAAAATCACTCAAAGGAAGCATAGTAAATCCATTACATCTATATGGTCTCTGCTGGTTTCTTTTCCTTCTTTTGATTGAGGCAGCAATATAAGTGGAATGTTTGAGGTGGTGGCATAGTAAAAGTTCTTTTCACCCTGACTCTCCTTGAATTAAAAGTTAGGACAAGCTTAGGTGGGTGTGCTCATTGTATAGGTAGGAAGAAAAAAGTGGTAACTGGTTTGTGCTTTGCAGAGCTCGCCGTAGACAAGCAAGAGAGCAAACTGGGAAGATGGCAGATCACCTCGAAGGCCTTTCCAGCGATGACGAGGAAACTTCAACAGATATCACAAACTTCAACTTGGAGCGAGGTTAGAAAAGCTACTGAAGCTTAATCACAGAGTGGTTTGGGTCGGAAGGGACCTTAAATCTCATCTAGTTCCACCCCCGGCCCTGGGCAGGGACACCTTCCACTATCCCAGGTTGCTCAAAGTTCTGTCCAGCCTGGCTTTGAACACTTCCAGGCATGGGGCAGCCACAGCTTCTCTGAACAACCTGTGCCAGGGCCTCCCCACCCTCATGGGGAAGAATTCCTTCTGAATACCCCATCTAACTCTGCCCTCTGGCAGTGGGAAGCCATTCCCCTTTGTCCTGTCACTGCATGCTCTTGTAAGCTCGTGGTGCCTGCCAGGACTCGCTCTGTCTGAACTGCCAATTCAGTTGGCTTATCTGAGATGCCCTCCTATATTTGCACTTGGCTTATCAAAGATGTAGAATAACTTGGCTTGGAAGGGACCTGGAGATGAGCTGTTTGAAACTCCCATGCACGGCAAGGCCAGCTTTGAAGCTCGATCCACTCTGAATACAGCCTGTAAGGGTAAATATCCTTTCTGCTGGAAGGATTCACTTTGAGGAGGCAGGTGATGCTTAGGAAGTCTTTCCTGCCTGGGAAGTGCCTTTCTCAAGGGTGGCTAGGTGGTTTGTTTTTTTTTTCCTTTTCTTTCTGCATTCCAGAGAGGCCTGCAGGCTCTCTCTCTCTCTCTAGTATGAGGAGAGATAAACAGATGTTGCAGGCAGTGCTGGTGGAGAGAGCTGGTGGCAGGGTGAGAACTGGGAAGATAAAAAGTCTTGAAGAAGGACAGGAGGTGTGTCTTTCTCAGGCCCAGTGCTTTTGCAGCACTGGTGGAGTTTTCCCTTGTAGATCTGGTACTCTCGACTTCAGAATAAATTTCCTTGAACTCCTTCCTTGTGGCATTCCAGGGGGTACCTGTGTGTTACCTGACACTGCACAGCCCAATACATCACCAGTCCTGCATCTGGTGGCCGAAAATCATTTAAGGACTATTTAAAGCGAGACAGTCTATTGGAGAGTACTCATGTGCTCATGTTTTTATGGCCCTGTATATTTTAGGCAGAAGGAACAGAACTTTTAAAGGCGGTGGGGTTTTTTTGGTTTTGTTTATGGGAGTTAGCTTATGTCAGTGAACATCAAAGACTCTCTTGAAAGAGATATTACAGGGAATAGTTAATTAACTTATTGCTCCTTCTCTCCCCTGCCAGATCGTATACTGAAAGAGTCCAGCAAAGTTTTCGAAGATGTTTTGGAAAGCTTTTACTCAATTGATTGTATTAAGTCACAGTTCGAAGCTTGGCGCTCCAAGTACTTCGCTTCTTATAAGGATGCTTATATTGGCCTCTGTTTACCAAAGCTGTTTAACCCTTTAATCAGACTTCAGCTGCTTATCTGGACTCCTTTGGAGGTAAGGTCGTCTGCAAGTAGCTTCTGCATAAGCTTCTCCACAGCAGTTCTTTCACACTTGTGCAGAGCAAAGTAAATTGCACCTCTGATGTGTGCTTCTCCTAAAGGGATGAAGTTTAAAACAGGCACCTCTCGTGGGGCAAAGCTTTTCTGGAGTTTCTAGGCTGTTGTCCTCTAGTTTCCCAGCAGGCCAGAGTTCAGTTCAGCACCTACCAGTACCTTCGTAGTGGGTGGTGTAGACCAAAAAGTCAAACAGCGTAAATGAAGGTGTCCTGGCCCATGGCAGTGGGTTGGAACCAGGTGATCTCTAAGGTCCTTCCACCCTGAACCATTCTGTGATTCTATGAAAATACATTTAGGCTCTGAAATACTTCAGAGGAGATTGTGACTCTAGATATGCTGTGTCTTCAGAAGTGGAAGTAAGAAGCCTGTTTTTACATTGAGTTACAACCTGTGTCTCTATAGATTATATATCTTTCTTTCTCTCACCTACACCTTCATACCCTGCAGAACTCTGGCTGGCAGTTTCCAGGTCTTCCTCATAGTCCTCCTTGCCCAATAATTAGGTAGGGACTATGGGAGAAGCAGTACAGCCCCCATTATCTCTGGCACATGTTTGTTGTGCAGCCTGCATAGGTGTGCTTACATGAGATGCCACCAGGACAAGCAGTTCAGGTACCTTTTGACTCCCACTCTCTTCTTCCTACTTTTTTCAGAAGTGGGTTTTTTTCTTAACTACTAGGAGAATTTTTTAGAGGAGAATTTTCTGTCACCTCTGCTCATTGCAAAGGGAGGGAAGCATAAGTCCCCTTCAGAGGGAATTTAGGGTATTAATTTTATTAATTTGATGGTTCACTTCATTAATCAAACAAGGGGAAATCTATGAAAGATATCCTCATTAAATTTAAAACTGGTTTTGCACATTGTCCCTTCCCCCTCTGTGAGTTTCCAGGCTGACAAAACAAAGCTCACATTAGCTGGAGACATGGTACAGAGTTATCAAGTCTAACTGTATTCACTACTCTCTGCTACTGCTCCTGGTAAGCATTTTGTTAAGTTAGAAGAATTTCAAGGTGCTCATAAAGAAGAGAGATTTTAAATCCAGCAATCATAATTTTATAATGCAGCACAGTTGAGCTGTACTTCCCACTTGTGCCCTGATCTGTGGGCTTTTATTTGGCTGTATCTATAACGTAGAAGTTAAAATCTGTGGGGCAACAACTGCTAAAAAAAAATCAATCTTCTGCCATTTTCACTTTTCATTACATCTGGTGACTGTGTGGTGGCAGAGGGAATTGGTTCAGTTGTTTTAGAGCTGTTTAGTTCTGTTTTGAGAGTGGTATCATACTTGCATACGTAATACTTCTTCTGTGTGTTGACTTCAAATCTCTTTTTAGGAATCTAACCCCAGTTCTTTTTTAATTAGGGCAAGTGTCGAGATTTTGAAACGATGTTGTGGTTTGAATCATTGCTGTTTTATGGCTGTGAAGAGCAGGAGCAAGTGAAAGATGATGCTGATATTTCACTGTTGCCTACCATTGTAGAGAGAGTTGTTCTTCCTAAATTAACAGGTACAGGCTTGGAAAATGGGAGGGAAAGGGTTGTGAAATCTGATGCTTCTTTGTGCTTTCAGATTTTACTGTTTTGTAAATAATTGCATTAATGTCTCAATACCTGTATTTGAGTCTTTTCAAAGTGGAGTAATTCTTTAATCCCTTACAGTGATTTCAGAAAATATCTGGGATCCTTTTTCTACCACACAGACATCTAGAATGGTAGCAATTGTACAGAAACTAGTAGATGGATATCCCTCAGTGGTGAACGCAGAAAACAAAAATACACAAGTAAGTTGTTTGGGGTTTTTTTCATAAATGCTTTGCCTAAGTTAAGGAATTTGAATTTATTTTTAATACACTTACTGTTGGAAAACACAGCAAGAAAGAGAATTCTTCAGCCATTCGGTGCTCTGCAGCTTGGTTGTGGGCAGTCAAGTATGGTGATAAATTAAGAGACTTTAAGACTATATGTGTGCTGAAATATGTATGCCTTTACTGTTTGTTCTTCGTTGCTTTAAAAATCAATTCCTGATATTTAACTACTAAGCAACGCCTTGGACATTTAAAAAAAAATTTATCTGTTTCAGATGCTTTTAAAGGCATTATTGCTAAGAATGAGGAGAACACTAGATGATGATGTATTCATGCCCTTATATCCAAAAAAGTAAGTTTACTTTTAACTATGGTGTTAGATCTTTCTTAGCAAGTCTCTGCCTTCTGTCCATAGTTAACAGGGGTTTTTCCCAGTGTGGTTCAGTGCCTGGATACAGGACATCTTTTGTTATCCTGCTGGTAGCATTTAGCAAAGACAAGAAGGATGGAAGGGAATAGTTATGGAAATGATGTGTGTGCTGGAGACAGGAAGCCAGAAATTCCAGACAGAGGTGTGGTCTTGGTTGCTCATTAAAGAAATCTCTTACTTTCCAGCATCTTAGAAAACAAGAACTCTGGTCCATATTTGTTTTTCCAACGTCAGTTTTGGTCCTCTGTCAAGGTAAGTCAGTAAATACATCTGGTAAATGTTTGGCCTAAGACAGTGTAGCAATAAAATACTCCTCAAATTTGTGGAAAAGGGTAAATGGAAACTGCTTTAATTTTATTTGCAAGAACTGTAATTGAGGATTCTTAGTCTTTGGTAATGCACTGTGCCTCTGCATTAGTCATTAGTGGTGTCCCCCAGGGCTCAGCTTTGGGCCCAGTCCTGTTTAATATCTTCAGTGATGATCTGAACGAGGGGATCCAGTGGACCCTCAGTAAATTGGCAGATGACAAGTTGGGTGAGAGTGTTGGTCTGCTGGAGGGCAGGAAGGCTCTGCAGAGGGATGTGGACAGACTGGATCCATGGCTGAGACCGACAGTGTGAGGTGCAGCAAGGCCAAGTGCCATGTCCTTGGGTCACAACGACCCCCTGCAGCACTGCAGGCCTGGGGACAGAGTGGCTGGGGAGTGAGCCAGCAGCAAAGGGCCTGAGAGTGCTGCTGACAGCAGCTGAGCGTGAGCCAGCACCGTGCCCAGGCGGGCAAGGGCCTGTGTCAGGAATAGTGAGGCCAGCAGGACTGGGGAAGGGGTTGTCCCTTGTACTTGGCACTGGTGAGGACACACCTTGAGTGCTGTGTCCAGTTCTGGGCTCCTCAGTTCAGGAAGGACATGGAGGTGCTGGAGCGTGTTCAGAGAAGAGCAGCTGCAGGAGTTGGGTTTTAGTCTGGAGAAGAGGAGGCTCAGGAGAGTCCTTGTCACTCTCTACAGCTCCCTGACAGGAGGCTGTAGCCAGGTGAGGGTGGCCTCTTCCCTCAGGCAACAGGATGAGAGGACATGGCCTCAAGCTGTGCCGGGAGAGGCTCAGGCTGGACATTAGGAAGAATTTCTTCACGGAAGGGGTGATGAAACATTGGAGTGGACTGCCCAGAGAGGTGGTGGAGTCACCATCCTTGGAGGTGTTTAAGAAGACTGGACGTGGCACTCAGTGCCATGGTCTAGTTGGCAAGGTGGTGTCCATTCAAAGATTGGACTGGATGATCTCAGCAGAGATCCAGCTCGATTGATTCTGTGATTCAAAGATTGCCAAGTGAAAGCACCCTCATTTCAACTTGCATGTCACTGAGCGTACTCAGCCCAGGATTTCTGTGTCCTTTTGTGCTTGCCAGAATAAAATACACTGCTCTGGGGGAATGGGAGAGCTCGAAGCTGGGACTGCCATCGTTTCTTTCCAATAAAAGGCCGTAAAGAAAATTAGCTCCCAACTAAACAGAAAAGTAGAGACTCGTGTTGGTTGAACACCTGCTCTCCACAATCACACAAAGAGAACTCTTCTCTGGAATTTTCTGTTTGAATTGCAGCAGTGAGGGAGACTGTATTCTGAATGGGTTTGCAAAATATTTCAAAAACCTAAATATTTTAAAAGTGTTTTATGTGTTTGATCAACTGTCTGGTTTCAGTACATCTTGAAATACTTCTTTTCCCTGTGTTGTGTTTTCAGTTATTAGGAAACTTTCTCCAGTGGTATGGGATCCTTTCAAATAAAACTCTCCAAGAGCTGTCCATAGATGGGCTGCTAAATAGATATATTCTTATGGCTTTTCAAAACTCGGAGTATGGAGAGGACAGCATTAAGAAAGCTCAAAGTGTAAGTAAAATCAAACAGTGCTTAAAGGCACAGGTTGCAGTTGAAGGGAAAATGTAGTTAAAATTCGAGGTTGCCTATGAAATTTTGGCTTTGATATCTCAAAATCTGTAGTGTCAGTGAAAAATAGATTTTATATTTTCTTAATACACAAACTAAAGAAAGAACTAAAGCCAACCAATAGATTGGCTCATATCTGTAGATGGCTTAGGTATACTGTGGGTTTCAGATTTTTACTGCTTGGATTTTGGTTGCTTCTTTTTTTTGGTAGTTCACTCAGTTGGGCCTTGTCACTGCAGTCTTACCTGGCAGATTTCACAAATCATGTTACATAGCTTTTAAACTTTTTCTTACATTGTGTTTAACTTTCTTTTTCCTGTTCTGCCTAGGTAATTGCTTGCTTTCCTAAACAGTGGTTCAGTAATCTAAAAGGAGACAAGACTATTTCTCAGCTAGAAAACTTCTGTAGGTACCTTGTTCACCTGGCTGATACAATTTACAGAAACAGCATTGGTTGCTCTGATGTAGAGAAGAGAAATGCAAGGTAACTTACTTTGAGTTAAAGCAGTTGCAGCTCTTGTGATCTGTTTTGTTTTGCCTGTGCATGCAAACAGGAGTAACTGTCTCCGTCCTGCTGCATGTCTTTGGAAACCTCTTTGAATTCAGACTTGAAATATGTTACAGTATGGTAGATGGGGATATTTTTAAGGTGTCTAAACCCAGCAACTACTGGAAATATTGAAACACTGGTAATATATATTGCACTACTGTTTAGTGTCAGAGATTCTTAAGGGGGTCTATAAAAGGGAGGGAGAGGGACTTTTTATATGGGCAGATAGTGTCAGGTCTGGGGCAGTGGTTTTACACTGCAAGAGGAGACATTTAGGTTAGATATTAGGAAGACATTCTTCCCTGTGAGGGTGGGGGGGCCCTGGCACAGGTTGCCCAGAGAAGCTGTGGCTGCCCCATCCCTGGAAGTGTCCAGGTTGGATGGGGCCTGGAGCAGCCTGATCTAGTGGGAGGTGTCCCTGCCGTGACAGGGGAGGTTGGAATGAGATTTAAGGTCCCTTCCAACCCAAACCATTCCATGATTCTGCCAAATTTTGTAGCTCCTGCGTTTGGACTGTTTCACTTGGTGAGCCTGTTGCTGATTCCTGCCTAATGGCTTCTGAATTCCAGACTGTCTGTCGTATACAGTGGAAAAGTTCTGACTTAATTTACACAACCAGCTAGATGAAGCTGCTTTGCCCTAGATCCAAGAGTCGTTGTGCTTGAATCCAATAACCAGTTTAATGAAAGTTCGGATTAGACACGTTACTGCTGGCCTGGAATGCTACGGGAACAGCAACAGCACAGGAATAAACAGTCTTCCAGTCTTGTTATAGTCCTGTGCATCAGTGCAATTATTTGGGTCTCAGGTTTAAATTTTTGAACTCTCTCTTTTGATAGGCTGTTTCTAGATTTGAAAGAACTTTTTTTACCAGGTGAAAAGATAACTTGGTAAAAGTCTGTAGTGGAAGAGAAACTTCCAGTTAGCCTTATTTTCATAGTGAGTTCTAATTTAATTTCTGTCTTCTGTCCTGCTTTCCCCCAGCGTTTACCAAAGCTGTTGCCATTACCCTAATTAAGCAAATATAATAAATCTGCAGCAGGAATATTAACTGTATGGCTTCCTAATGTAATCTTCTGTTGTAATATTAATCCATGTCATTGATGGTTCTGTTCCTGTATTGACTTCTCTTCCTCCTTTTAGGGAGCACATCAAGCAGATCATAAAGCTTTTAGCAAGTATCCGAGCCCTGGATCATGCTGTTACAGTTGCAAATGATCACAACGTAAAAGAGTTAAAGATTTTAATAGAAGGAAAATAGACTTTTCCCACAACTCATTTTGAGCTTTAAAACCATTCCTGATGTGTAATTTATGTACATATGTAAAGTTTCTTAAACTGTAAAGTATTGATCTTTGTTTTAATACAAAGTGCATTCTTATATACAGCATCCTTAAAAATAAAAATCATTGACTTCATTGAAAACAAAAATGGAATCCCAAGATTGTCATCTTTCCAGAAACCAACTTTTCCTTCAAGTTTCTCAAAATCTTGTTTACAAAAATACTTTGTGCCCATGATCAGTAGTCATCTACTCCTGTTAATTGTTCCATGGTTAACTGGAATGTGTATAATATATTTTGTGTAATCCAATGTATGCACATATTTATACCACCATGTTGCTTTCACACTGGATATAGAGATGTTGTGCTGTTGCAATAAGCTTTTCATTTGCTAAAAATTACTTATTTTGACAATAAAATGATCATCTTATTGGTCAAAAGGGCTGGTAAAACATTCAAATATGTGAAAATCGTTTGAGCTGAAGAGTAGAGACACGTTCAAATGGAACCTGACCTTTAAAAAGCAGCTGTGCTGCACTCCAAGTGGAGTAGCTAAAAAGTGATTTACGTTCAGAATATGGAACTCTGAAGACTGTTCTTTGAAGGGAAAATCCAAAATCGCTGCTGAATTATTTTAATGTAGGCAAACAATTAGAACTTGTGATCATTGTGCATGTGTAGATGGCAGCACTTTCTAAGCTCCAAACACCTGTCATTTTGGAGGAGTAATGGTTTACTCTGAACTCTGGACCCTCCTTTCTTTTGTAAGTTGCTTAAATCCACTGTTTGTGTCAGGATTTGGGGGTTTTGGTTTTGTGGGTTTTTTTGTTTTCTGTTTTTTGGGTTTGTTTTCTAATGTCGTCCATGGAACCTGTTTCTTCAGATTTGTGTGGCTAAAGAGGTCGAGCAAAACGAAGGTGAAAAAAACTTTGAAGTATTTATATTGTAGTAAATATTCAAATGTTACACTTTCCACTAAATACCACATAAGAATAGTCTTTCAAGAAAAGCCCAAACAGGGATCAAATTTAAATGTAAATAAAAAAGAAAACACTTTAAAAAAATCTGTTGATTTATATCAGAACACTAGTGACTTGATCTTGGGGTCCAAGGCATGGGGACAGCTGTAATAGCCTTGGGTTAAGAGCTATTTCCACATGTGCCCTCCTTTTTTGAGGGGAACTGTAGCAATTTGCGTAATGAGTCACATTTGTGCTCCTGTTGTGGTATAAATGAGTTACAGTAAATACGAACCGTTTGTCACATGCACACTTCTTTGGACACTGGACAGTTGTTTTTCTGAACTGTTGGGATTGATGGGGTACACTCAGAAATACCTGCTTTTTAAAATTGTTTCAATAAACTCATCTGGTGGAGGAGTTGTTGCGGTGCAACTTGGTAAGCTTTTTTCCTTTAGGAAGGGAGTAAAGGAAATTATATGGGTGCTGGCTGACTTTCAGTGTGTCAGACAGAAAAGCTGTTGGTGGTGCAGATAATAGTCCTTGCAGTGGAGGTGAAGGCCAGACAGAGCTTTCTGTCCTGGCACTTCTCGTGTGGGAGCAATTCTTGCATATATTGTGTTCTGAAGGTGGTGGTTAAGTTTTGGAGGTGGGCTCCAGAAAGAGAAGGACTCTCTTTTCCTTTGGGAAGGGCAGCACCCACCCCAAGTGCTGGTGGTGCAGACAAGAGGTGGTCCAGGGGAGGCAGGTCCGAACCAGTTTGATCAGGTTGGAACTAGTTTTATCTGGTTGGAACTGCCATAAAATAATAAACATTTTTTTTTTAATCAAAAGTAAAAATCGAAAACTAAATAAAAAAGAAAAAGGTTTCTTCAGATGGAATTGACCTGAGCCAGTGGCTTCTGCTCCAAGGGGAGTGGCAGCAGTAGGTCCTTCTGTCCAGTCCTCTGCTACGCCACGTCTCGCTTCCAGACCTGAACTTGGGGTGAAAGCAGCATTCTCAGGTGGGACACGAGCCTTGCCGGGCAGCTGAGGGGCTGCTAAAATCACAAACTCTGCCCAACGTGGGAGCTGGGAGCCCTTCACAAGCTGAAGCTCCTGCAGGTGAGAGCTTACGATTACTAGTTCTTACGTGGACATGTTTTGGTTCCCCTCACAGCTCTGTTTTAGTGGTTTGGGTTCTTTTTTCTGTTTCTTTTTAAAGCAAAGACTTATTTCCGATGTGGGTCTCGCTACTTGCAATTTTTTTTTTTTTGTGCCAGTGAATACATTTTATAAGCACTGAGGTTCTACAATTCAGTTGTTCTAAATCAGGTACTTCTCTTAGTGAGCAATCTGAGTTGTTAGACAGTGCGGACTGCAGAAGGATTTTTCGGTAAACTGATTGTTTTTTAATTTATTGTAAAGCTCTCCTAAAAACTCCACACCGGGGTGCGTTCGCTGCACCTTCCGTGGGGGCTGCAGGGAGAAGCAGCTGGGGGGGGGGGTTTGCTCTCTGCCCCTTTGCCACCTTCCCCTCGGTTCCCTGGGACTCCAGGGAATCCCAGCTCCCCTTGGCTTCTCCGGGGGCCTCGCGGCAGGGTTTCCAAGTGTGGCGCTGAGATTTTCTGGCCTGGGAACTGATGGCTGTTTCGGGGCACGTCTCAGCGGGCAGTCTGTCTTTGAACGCTTGCCGGGGCAGGAGAATTGCGGCGGAAAAAAGCAAAGGAAGCCCAGAGCCTGGAGTAGGCAGGCCCGGGCCTCTGGCGAGCCCAGGCCTTGCTGCTCGGTGCCGATTGTGCCCGGGGCTTGTTCCTCACCGTTGGGGTCCAAATGAGAGGGGAGCAAGAGGCAGAACAGCTGCTGCTGCTGCTGCTGCTGCTGCTGAACTGTCTGCAGTGCCCGGGGGCCGGGCAGGACTTGGCCCCGATGCCTGCATTGCTCTGCAGCGGCCAGGGAGGGGTCCCAAAAGTCATCCCCCCGCCTGCTGTGCTGCACAGCAGGGGCTGGCTGGGCCGGTTCCCGGCCGGGGGAGCCCGGGGGAGGCCGTGCTGGGGCTGAGGGGCTGCTGCTCTCTGGGCCTCTCGGGGTTTGCCTTGGAATCCCAAAGCCTGTGCCTGCGCGGGGGAGAGGAGGCAAAGGTGACTGTAAATTGGTCTGTTGTGGAGTGTTTTGGGGCCGAGTTCATGCTCTTGGCTTGTTGTGTGTCAATTCCCAGCCTCGGTCAGGGCTTCCCGGGGAGCGTTGCCGCTGCTGCCGCCGCTGCCGCCGGCGCCGGGAGAGAGAAGTCCTTTGGGAAGCCGGGATAAAACCAGCAACTCTGTGAATTGCCCGGCTTTTCCTAGGGAAGGGCAGGTTTTCGGGAAGAAAGGCCCGTCCTCGCGAAAGGCGCCGCGGGTCTCGCAAGGGGGGGGCGCGGCTGCAGTGCCGCTCCCGGCCGTGTCCGCCAGGCGGCGACTGCGAGGCAGCGCCCGGCGCTCGGGGCGGGCTGGGAAGCGGCGCCTGCGCAGAGCGAGGCGTTGGCCGGGCCGGGCCTGAGGCGCTCGGGGCCGCCGGGCAGGGCAGGGGCGGGGACCGGCCGGGGCGGGGGGTGCGGTGGGGATGGGGGGGGGTGGCCGCCTTCCCCGGGCTTTCGAGAGAATAATAACGAAGTTTAACGACAAAATAAACATTTAAAAATACAACAAAGAACGCATTCAACCCGAACAGTTTTCTGCAGGAGGCGGGCTGGGACGGGGAATTGTCTCCAAGGCGGCCCAGGATCGGGGCGGGCTCTGCGGCGGGGACGATGCCGCTGCCGGCCGGGGAAAGGCACCTTCCCCCCACTGCCAAAAAGCTGGGAAGGGATAACCTCTGCCTGCAGCTGCCTGGAGCTGCTGTTGGCCCTGGGCTTTCTGTGCCCCTCGTGGCCACGGGCCGATGGCAGGATCGCTCCAGCCCTGGCACAGACGGGCTGAAGGCGAGCCCGGGGTCTGTGCGGGGCAGGGCTGCCCCTCGGCCCCTGAGCGCGGGGGTGTGGAGGGAATGGACCGGCCGGGCTTTGGCAATCTGGCCCCCAGAAAGACTGTGTGACCTCTTCCAACAGGGGAGGACTGAAGCAAGCGGGGCCAGGAAGAACTGGAGTTTCTGGGGAATAAAAGCTGGAAGTATCCCCCTGAAAATCCCCCCGGGTGGTCACTGGTCTGACTTGCACGGACCGGTGGCCTTGGCCAGGAGCGGTCCTGCGGGAAGTGCCTTTGCCCAGGCTGTAATTTTAATTTCCATTGGATGCTGGCAAAGCCCCTCTGGGTGAGCCCCAGTGCCTGGCAGGAGCAGAGCGGGCTTGCAGGGTACTCATTGCAGGCGTTGTGTTTAAGGGAAGGGCAGGGGAGCCTTTCTCTGGCCCAGAGGAGCTGCAGTGTTTCCCTCTCTGGAAGAATAAGAAATAAAAAAATAAAAACCAAAGGAGAAAGAAAAGAAAATGAAAAATAAAGAGAACAAAAAATAAACGAAATAAAGAAAAAATAGAAAAGAACATTTAAAAAAAGGCAAGAAAACTAAAAAGGAAATAAAATTAAATAAAAGAGAAAAAAAACCCCTTCTTGGGTGCCCCGTTTACTCCCCGCCCCCCCGGCCCCGCCCTCCGCCCCGTAACTTGGGGGTCACCCCTAAACTGTGAGAAGGGGACCCCAAAACGTGGGTGGGGGAACCCCAGGGAGCCGCAAAAGCGGAGGGGGAGCCGCGAAACGTCAGGGAGGGGCCCCGGAACAGCGGGCGAGGCGCGCGCAGTGAGAGAGGGGAGCCGGAACGTCGGGGGGGGGGAGCCAAGGTGGCGACGCCGGCGCATGCGCAGTCCTTGGCAAGACGCCGGCGATCACGCGGTAATTAAGGGCGGCCGGGAGGGGGACCGGCGACGCATGCGCAGTGGTTCTCGTGCCGCTGCAGCGCTCCCCGCTCAATTTAAGAGCCGATTCCGGCGGAACGGCGGGACTTGTGGTCTTCCGTCTCTCCCAGAGTGTGCGTGGGGGGAATAACGTGAAGATTTTTGGGGCGAAAGCGCAGAAATTAGCGAGAGACGCTAATTCGGATAAAGTCGGGTACCGGAAGTAGAGACCGACCGGACTGTTTTCGACGGCGCACCACCAAAGATGGCGCCCTCTCGGACCGAAAGTCGTCCGAGGCTGCCCAGAAAGAAAGATGGCGGCGCCAGGACCGGAAGTCCTCCAAGGCCGTACAAAAAGATGGCGACCCCAGCCCGGAAGTTCGTCCCTAACCCACAGTAAAGATGGCGCCGCCAGGACCGGAACTTAGTCGAAACCACACTAAAGACGGCGGTGAGAGGCCCCCTTGCTTCAGAGAGGCGTCCTACCTGTCCCCTGACCTCCGCCCCGACCCGGATCCCCGCCCCGCGCCCGCAGCGCCGTCTCGCCGCGCCGCTTCCCGTTGTGGGGACAGGGCGGGGCGATCGGCGGCGTAGGGCGCGGGCGGCAGGTTCGTGGGCGGCAGCAGGCACCGGCGAGGGCAGCCCCCTCTCGGCGGTCCCTCCGTGCCCTGGAGATGCTGTGATGCTGTTTAGGTAATGCTGATTGTGTTTCCCCCACTTTGGCAACGCGGTCATTAAAAAGAGAAAAATAACAAGTCTGTGGCCATGCCCTGCACTTGGGAGCTTGCAGGCTCTGGATTAAACTTGGCTCTCTAATGTTAAAACTGTGCGCGAGGGGCGGTGCCCGATCAGGGCCAGCGGCGGTGCCGGACGGGGCCGGCCCGGGGGTCCCTTCCCCGCGGGGTCGCAGCCGCGGGACCCGCCCCCGCCCCGCGCGGCCCCGCCCGGCGTTGGGGGCTGCGGCCGCTCCCGGCGCTGCCGAGGCTGCCGGGGAGGGACCGGCCTGTGCTGGGGGCACGGGGGTCGTTCCTTGGGTTCGAGGGCGGCAGCGGGAGCGGCGCGGCGGGGCGGGACGGGCGGGAGGGGCCGGGGGAGGGCGGGGAAGCCGCGGCGGGGCCCGGGGGCTGCAGCTCTCTGGCTTCCCGACTGGCTTTGCGGACATTTGCCACCTTCAGAGGAGGCACAAATCCCCGCGGAGCTGAGCGAGGGGTGCGGGGAGTGCAGCGAGCTGGGGCGGGGCTGTGACCAGGGCAGGGTGTGCGCAGTGCCCCAAAACCCGCACCCAAAACCAGCCCGGAACGGCCCCAGAGCCCAGAGCGAAGCGACGCGGGATCGCGCCGGCCCCGCCCCTAGACTCGCCCAGGCCCGCCCCCCGGCTCGCGCCGGCCCCGCCCTGCCCGTCCCCAGGGGCCCGCCCCCAGGCACGTCCGGCCCGCCCCCGACCCCGGTCCCGGCCCGCGCCCCTCTACCGCCCCCTGGCTCGCGCCGTCCGCCCGGCCCCGCCCTGCCCGTCCCGAAGAACGCCGCCGTTCCCGCTGCCCGCCCCGCTCCCCTTGTCCCGGGAGAGCTCCCGGCCGGGCCGTGACCGCGGAGCTCCCACCCGCCCTTCCCCGGCCCCAGCAGCGCCCGCCGGGGCTGCGGCGGCGGCGGGAGCCGCGCTGAGGGAACGGGGGGCGAGGCCGCGCCGAGGGGGGGGGCCGGGCTGAGCGGGCGGGGCGGGGCCGCAGGGCCGGGCGGGCTGGGATTGGGCGGAGGCGCTCGAGCGCTGATTGGGCAGCGCTGCCGGCCCGCAGTATAAAGGGCCGGCGGGGCAGGTGCGGGCGGTTGTGTGTGAGGGCTGAGGGTGCGGCCCCGCTGCTGCCCGGGCTGCGGAGGGGAGAGCGCCTTGGCCGCTGGGTTTGTGACCGGGGGAGCCGGGGGGCGGTTAGGGGCGCCTTGTGCTGGGCAGCGGGGGCCGGGTAAGCCCGTTACCTGCCGGGTGCCACCGGGGGGGGCCGTGGCAGCGCTGCGGGGCTGTTGCTCTCTGGGTGTCTCAGGGTTTGCCTCGGAATTCCAAAGCCTTTCCCTGTGCAGGGTTAGGAGGCAAAGACTGGTCTCACTGAGTTTCTTGGTGCTGCATTAATGCTCTTTGCTCCTTCTCTGTCCAGCCGTGCCCTCCCTGGGGCTCAGCTCAGGTCCGTGCCCAGCGGCTGGTGGAGTGTGGCGAGTTGTGCTTCCTGCCGGGCGGGAGCTGCCTTGGGAAGCTGCTCTGTCCCCACGGCTGTGCCGAGCTGGGAGCTTGGACAGGTAAGGGCAGGGCCCGTCCTGCCGGTGAGAATTGGGTTTGGCTGGGGGAGGAGGGAATGGAGTGTGTGCCTGTTAACTCCACGGAGAGCCAACAGCTGGGAGAGACCCCGAGCAGGTTTGGTGCCACGAGAGCAGCTTCAAAAGACCGTGAGTGTTGGAGAAATGTCCAGGAGAACTGGTTCCTTGTTGGCAGGGAGGCAGTTTGCAAGGACAGGGGGGTTGCTGTGCTCTCTAGTAAAAAAAGGTTTCCTTGCTCTCTCAGCAGGATGTCGAGTGCCACCGTGTCCCTGAGGTCCCCCTTTCTCCTGTTGGGAGAGCACGAGGCGGATGGAGAGGATCCCCAGGCATCTGCAGGAACAAGGGACTTCTATGACTCCAACTTGCCTACTGCAGCTGTAGGATGGACTTTCAAGATAGCATTGGGAATGTGCCAGCACTCTCCTGCTGAAGTTTTTGTCTGCTGTATTTGAACACAATGAGTAAAACTGAAGTCAGGTCTGTTCTGGAGTGTGTTACACTTGTCCTTCCCTCTGTTTATTTTCTGTTCTGGAAAGCATGGTCTGGGGTTCCTGGGCACTTCTTATTAAATGATATAATGAAAATAATTTTGTACTGAAAGGGGAAAGGAGCTGTCTGTGAAAGTTCAGATGTCCATGATAAAAGCCTTATGTGTTTTCAGTCAGTAAGCTCTTAAAATATCTTACGGTGTGTAGGAATACCTGGCTTCTAAAACTCACCAGCTGAGTCTTAGAGGTTTCTCTGAAGAGCTGATTTCAGGCAGCAGAATTGCCCCCCAGGCGGGACTCTGTGCCTGCTCTCCCGTGGCTCCAAGGGATCTCTGGCCCTTCACGCCGGCACCGAGATTTTCTCGGGAAGGGCCTCAGATCCCCGGACCAGTCTGGGACACAGGCAAGATCCCCCTGCAGTTTAGGACCAACTTGGCCCCCTGGAGGGACAGTGCTGTGGGTGCCCCCCGGGTTGGGGCACCCCGAGGACTCCAGCGCGCACCGAAAGGATTATTCGGGGAGATCCTCGGGGTGCCCGGCCCTGGGGAGCTCAAAGCAAGGTCCCTGCCATGGATTCAGGCATTGCTGAGAGTATCCCAGGGGTCCCTGTCCCTGCTAGACATGGAGCTCTCTAATGGGCTGCAATTGGGTGATAAAAGTGGTGCTCCAAGTGCAAAGGAAGTGTGGGATTGGGATTAAGAAACGAGCAGTGATGGTCCAATTGGCTGTTTTCTCTTGAATGTAATGGTAAGAGCTGCAGGAGTGCCAGGTGTGTGTTCCAGTCCCCAGCATTTGGTTTGCACCTGTCCTGGTCAGACACAGGTCCAACTTCCTCAGTCCTTAACCCAAGAGAGGGAGAATGAAGGACTGGCAGTGTTCAGGTGATTGGTGTGACAGGGGTCAAACTGGAAAACATTGGGTGATTCCTCAGTTTGTCTGTTTGCCAAACTTACCCAAACCTGTGCTAGGAAGACATGGAGTGTAAAAGTTGAGGCAGAAATGGAATTGAAAATGGGAATATTGACACTGTAATTGCTGAAACTCAATGTGTCCAAGCAGCAGCTCTTGTTGTGCAGGGAATAACTCCTGTCAGCAGCAAGGCCCCGACTGAAGTGGCAGCAGCAGTTGTTCCTGTGGTGTGGGCCAGTGGAACTGCAGGAGAGTGGAAGAGGGCAGAACCTGTAGGTATTACCCCTAAGCCAGAGTCTGTACTGGTAAGGCAAAGTCAGTATCCTTTAAAATTAGGAAGCCAAGCTGGATTGGTTCCAGGTAAGAGCCGAGTTTGCTCCTCATGGTTTGATAGTAGAAGGTGAATGCAAGGACCTGTAGAGAAAGCAAATGGGAAAGATGATTGATTGCTGGGAGCAGGGGCTGACAGACAGTGGCACTGGATGTTTGATTGTGGTGGGGAATGAGCAGCTTGACCTGCCCAGGGTTGTCTGTGCTGGGGGTGGGTTTGGGTCCTGTGTGGCCACAGGTCTGTGCAGCAGCTGGAGCCTGGGCAGGTCTGGGGGCTGTGGTGTGCCAGGCTGCTGAGCGTGTTGTCCCTGTTTCCTTGGAGTGTCCCAGTGTCCCTGCTTGGCTGTTTGTTGCCCTGCAGGCAGAAGAGCCCAGGCCTGAGATGGCTGAGTGTTGGTGTGAGCCACAGTGGGTGTCCCTGCCCTCGGGACAGTCCCCAGAGCTGCCTTTGGCATCCCCTGCTGAAGGGTGGGAGCTGCCCAGAGCCAGCAGCATCCAGCTGGAGGATCCAGGAGGATGCAGTTCCTGTTGTCTGGGAGGTAAGAGGTGGGGGTGCAGGAGCTGGCAGGGGTGTTTTGCAGGCAGAGGGAGGGCAGGAGCAGGAGAATTGCAGGTGCAGCAGCTGTGTCAGTGCTGGATGGAGTCAGGCTGGGAAAGGGCCCTGAGTGTCAGGGCAGGGGAGAGCCCAGGGTGGCCCTGGGAGCCCTGGGGCTGTGACCAAGTGCAGTGGGCAAAGGAATGGGCACTGGAGAGCTGGGCAAACAGCTGGAGGAGTTGCAAGGGGAACCAGGAGACTGGAATGCAGGAGCAGCAGCTCCCTGTGTGTGTGTGTAGAACCAGGTGTACTGCAGCCCCAGTGAGGTGGGAAATGAAGCTCAGGAGGCTGGGAACGAGTCCCACAAACTGGTTAAAGTGGGATGGACTCTTCCCAAGTGTCTGAAAAGCTTTTCTTTAGTGTTGCTTTTATCAGTTGAAAACTGGAGTGATTGTCAAGGTGTTGGCACTTGTTTTCCTGTGTCTTTGGTGAGGTGTTGACTCAGTACCTTTATTGGAGCTGCTGTTGGATGAAGAGGTGCCCCCAGTTCACCTGGAAGGTCCTGGTTTTCTTCCCTGCTTCTCCCAGCTTGTCCAGGAGATGGAATTCCAGTGCTAGAGTCTAGATGGCTCGTGGTGCTCCCAAAAGGAGCCTTTGTGCCTTCAGGGTAAGTTGTGTTGCCACTGGAGCTGTTGGGAGAGGCGGAAGGTTGGTAGGGAGAGGCCTGGAATGATGTTGCTGTGGCACAGAAGAAATGAGCAGTGATGGTACAATTGGCTGTTTTCTCTGGAATGTGACTGTGAGAGCTGCAGGAGTGCCAGGTGTGTGTTCCAGTCCCCAGCATTTGGTTTGCACCTGTCCTGCTCAGACACAGGTCCAACTTCCTCAGTCCTTAACACAACAGAGGGAGAATGAAGGACTGGCACTGTTAAGGTGATTGGTGTGAAAGGGGTTAAACTGGAAAACACTGGGTAGTTCCTCAGTTTCTCTATTTGCCAAACTCACCCAAACCTGTGCTAGGAAGAGATGGACTGGAAAAGTTGAGGCAGAAATGAAATTGAAAATGGGAATATTGACACTGTAATTGCTGAAACTCAATGTGTCCAAGCAGCAGCTCTTGTTGTGCAGGGAATAACTCCTGTCAGCAGCAAGGCCCCGACTGAAGTGGCAGCTGCAGCTGTTCCTGTGGTGTGGGCCAGTGGAACTGCAGGAGAGTGGAAGAGGGCAGAACCTGTAGGTATTACCCCTGGTGTGGGATCTCTCCTGGTAAGGCAAAGCCAGTATCCTTTAAAATCAGAATGCCAGCCTGGATTGGTTGCAGGAACAGCTGAATTTGCTCCTCCTGGTTTGCTTGTAGAAGGTGAATGCCAGAACCTGCCAAGGAAACCACTGGCCAAGGGCATTGATTAGTGCAGGACCTGAGAGAACCCCCTGAAATGACAACCTGGAGTAGTTTCCAGGATTAGATTGCAAAGATGGCCTTGGCTGCCTCTCCTTGAGCAAGGAAAGCCAAGAAAGCTTTGCTTTTGCAGGAGAAACTGGGGCAAGCGGGCAGGAAGAAGAGAAGCCCCGTGACTCCTCCCTGAGCCCCAGACAGCCCCTGAACTGCCTCCCTGGGAATGGTGGGACGGGCTGGACTCTGGATTGCTCCCTCTGCATGTGTGGTAAGACTGTTAGGGCAACTTTTCCAAGAGCCTGTAAGCATTTGCTGCCTTGGCTAGATGGTGCAAGGGCAGCCTTTAAGCAGCTGAAGCCTTCCCTGAGGAGAGCTCTGGGTCTGCCAGATGTCTCAGAAGTGTTGGAAGCATCTTTGGTGGGGAGGGCAAAGAAAGGCCAAGGTGTGCAGTGACCCCCTGAGAAGGGACTTTGAGTTAATGGCATCCCTGCCAAGTGAACTTTGTGGGCTGTTCCCCCTGCAGGGCAGGTGATAGTCCCAGCTACAGTGATGGGAAAAATAATTAAAAGGGAGCCCCAAAAGCTGGAAATCCTCCTGGAGGCTCTTGGCAAAGAGAGTTTGCTGAGTTCCCCCTGACAGAAGGACAGTGACAGCTTTTGAGTGCTGGTAGATCCTTTGAATAGACAGCCTTGAGTGTGTCCTTGTTGCCCCAGCAGGCCTTGTCCAACTCCCCATCTTGCAGGAGATATACATATTGAAGTTTGAAATGCTCTTCCTAATCCTTTGTTGTCTTGAGGCTCTCCCCTCAGGAACTGCAGGAACTCCTGGTGCCGCCTGGGCCGATGGATTGGACGCCCCAGCCCCTCCGTTCCTGCCCAGCCCCTGGGGCCGTGTCCAGTGGTGGCACTGCCAGCCCTGCAGGGGAAGTGGGAAGGGCCTTTGCAGGTCCTGTGGGTCACATTGATAGCAGGTAAAATTGCAGTAAAAGGACCTGGGGTCTGTTCTCCTTGAGTTCAGAAAGCTCCTTTTGGTTGGTGAGCAGAACCAAGTGGATCCTTCAGAGTTCCCACCCGTGTTTGTGTCTCAGCCTGTGTTAGGATTCAGGGCTGTCAGTTGTTGTCACTGAGGAGTCAAACTGTGCTTGAAATAAGGAGACCCTGGCCTGATGGCCCAGTGTCAAGGCAAAAGGGGGAATGATATCTGAGTGTTGAGATGTAACAAGGGCTAATCCTTTTTGCAGTGGGATGGAGCCTGGAAAGTGCCCAGAGCTGAGCCCAGGGATTGAAAGGGACCAAGCAAGGGAGGTGAAGAAAGAAGGAAGAAGGGAAGTGAGGCAGCAGCCAAGCAGCACCAAGTTGCTGTGTAAGCAGGTGAGTTGTGCTGAGGTTCCTCAGGCAGGCCCTGAGGACTTTGAGGGCTCCAGACAGAGCAGACCTGGGAAGGCCCTCGGTGAAGCCCCTCAGAAACCTGAAGCCCCTGGGTCTCTTTGTGAGCCTGAGCTATTGCAGCCCTGGGGATGGCTTTGGTTTCCTTCTCTCCTCAGAGTAAAACTGTCCAGGGGAGTCTGTGATCTCCCTGATTGTTGTATCATAACTGAAACTTGGAAGAAAGTTGACCTTGTGTCATTTCCCAACTGACTTGGCCGGGTTGAACCAGCAGTGCCAGATTGTTGTGGTGTGCAGGTTATTGTTTGTGTCTGAGCAGTTTGGGGTTGATTTGCCAAGGGAGGCCATGGAATGTTATGGTATTTTTGTCCCAATATTTGTAGGCAGTGCCCTGAATTAGTTGATTTCTGCCTCACTCCCTGATATCTGAGTTTGGAGATGTACCAAGAACTGGTAGTTTTTGCAGTGGGATGTTCCCTAGAAACTGCTTGGAGCTGAGCCAAGGAACTTCAAGGGACTGAGCAAGCAAAGGCAAGAAAGAATGAAGAAGGGAACTGAGGCAGCAGCCAAGCAGCACCAAGCTCCTCTACAACCAGGTGAGTTGTGTTGAAGTTGCTAAGGTGGTCACTGAGAACTTTGGGGGCTGCAGGCACAGGTGACCACCAGAGACCCCCGATGGAGCCCCTCAGAGACCTTATAAGGGTTTGTGTATGTGGGAACAGGTGTTGGGAATGTCCTGAATGTGGAACAGGAATGCAGGGAAGGAAAACGAACCCTCCTGTAATGCTGACCCCTCCCATCAGCTACAGTGGAGACCCCTCCGTGTGCCCTTTGGGAGCGGATTGCCAGGACCCCCGTGGGGCTGGGATCATGGCAGGGTGTTGTAAGCAAGGAATGCCTGGCTTGGAAAACTCCCCAGCTGAGCCTTAGAGGCTTCTCTGAAGAGCTGAGTTCAGGCAGCAGAATTGGCCCCCAGGAGGGACTCTGTGCCTGCTCTCCCGTGGCTCCAAGGGATCTCTGGCCCTTCACGCCGGCACCGAGATTTTCTCGGGAAGGGCCTCAGATCCCCGGACCAGTCTGGGACACAGGCAAGATCCCCCTGCAGTTTAGGACCAACTTGGCCCCCTGTAGGGACAGTGCTGTGGGTGCCCCCCGGGTTGGGACACCCCGAGGACTCCAGCGCGCACCGAAAGGATTCTTCGGGGAGATCCTCGGGGTGCCCGGCCCTGGGGAGCTCAAAGCAAGGTCCCTGCCATGGATTCAGGCATTGCTGAGAGTATCCCAGGGGTCCCTGTCCCTGCTAGACATGGAGCTCTCTAATGGGCTGCAATTGGGTGATAAAAGTGGTGCTCCAAGTGCCAAAGAAGTGTGGGATTGGGATTAAGGAATGAGCAGGGAGGGTCCAATTGGCTGTTTTCTCTGGAATGTGACTGTGAGAGCTGCAGGAGTGCCAGGTGTGTGTTCCAGTCCCCAGCATTTGGTTTGCACCTGTCCTGCTCAGACACAGGTCCAACTTGCTCAGTCCTTAACCCAAGAGAGGGAGAATGAAGGACTGGCAGTGTTCAGGTGATTGGTGTGACAGGGGTCAAACTGGGAAAACATTGGGTGATTCCTCAGTTTGTCTGTTTGCCAAACTCCCCCAAACCTGTGCTAGGAAGAGATGGACTGGGAAAGTTGAGTCAGAAATGAAATTGAAAACTGGAGCTATTGACACTCTAATAGCTGTAACTAAACGTGTCCAAGCAGCAGCTCTTGTTTTGCAGGTGTCATAGTTTGAAATTGGTTCCCCTTGAGAGTTTGAGAGGCTCAGAGGTGTTTGGGTGCCAGGGCAGTGTTCCCTGGAGAGCCAGTCACCACTCATGTTGTTTGCTTCTGCTCAAAATCATAGAGCACAGCACGGGAAGCTGTTGGCAGTCCTGTCTTGGTTGTTTTGCTGTTGGTGTCTGCTGTGTGTAGGTGTTGAAGGCCAGGAGGTGGCTGGGCTCTCTCTCTCTCACCCTCCGGGGGGAAGAGGGGGGCCCTGCAGCCCCCCCAACTCTGCTTGGGGCAGAGTTAAGTGGCAGCATTTGGAGTGTGTGCTGTGAAGGAAGAGATTCACAGCCCCTGAGGGAAGAGGAGAGAGGCAGGCTCTGCAGCCAAGCCCTCTCTCCCCCCTCCTTTTCTGCAGGGAAGCTGTAGAGGGGGGCTCTTCCTTTCCCTGCACTGTAGGTGCAGGAGAGGCTCACCACTGAAGCTGAGCCAGGAGACTGGGCCGTGGAGGTAGGCCCGGCGCTCGGGGAAGAGTCCCAGGTGGAATTGGAGCCGAGCCCAGAGCTGGGGAGCTGCTGCCAAAGCTGAGCGGGGGCAGCCGAGAACTGCTGTGGAGGAAGGAAGATTCCAGGCCGGGGACCTGGATAAGCTGCACTGCAGCAGCCCCTGGACCAAGGGGAGACCCCCAGAGGGAGAGATCACCAGCAGCAGAAGAGCAAGGACTCACAGCTGTCTTCTTGGAGTTGGTGAGGAGAGAAACTGAACAACCAACTGGAACTTGGGGAGGGGGGAGCGCTCAGGAGCCCAGAACACTCCCACAGCAAAAGACTGTGTTAGGTATCAGCCTTGAAAAGCTGCTCCTGGACTAAAGTAGTTAAAAGGAGGGGCTTGAAAGGACTGAGTGACAGAAATGTAATATATATATATATATATAGTTGCCTTCAGTTTATATAGTATTTGTTTGTGTAAATAAATGTATATACTTCCCCCTTCCCCTACAGAAGCCTCTGGTCTGAAAGTTTCTCTCCGGTGTTTGGATAAATTGTGTGAAGGGTGGGGCGAGGCCTGCAAATTGGATTTTACATTTCTAATGTGCCTCAAACTGCCACATAGGGCCAAGCCAGTATCCTTTAAAATCAGAATGGCAGCTTGGATTGGTTGCAGGAACAGCTGAATTTGCTCCTCCTGGTTTGCTTGTAGAAGGTGAATGCCAGAACCTGCCAAGGAAACCAATGGCCAAGGGGATTGATTAGTGCAGGACCTGAGAGAAGTCCCTGAAATGACAACCTGGAGTAGTTTCCAGGATTAGATTGCAAAGATGGCCTTTGCTGCATGTCCTTGAGCAAGGAAAGCCAAGAAACCTTTGCTTTTGCAGGAGAAAATGGGGAAAGCAGGAAGGAAGAAGAGAAGCCCCGTGACTCCTCCCTGAGCCCCAGGCAGCCCCTGAACTGCCTCCCTGGGAATGGTGGGACGGGCTGGACTCTGGATTGCTCCCTCTGCATGTGTGGTAAGACTGTTATGGCAACTTTTCCAACAGCCTGTAAGCATTTGCTGCCTTGGCTAGATGGTGCAAGGGCAGCCTTTAAGCAGCTGAAGCCTTCCCTGAGGAGAGCTCTGGGTGTGCCAGATGTGTCAGAAGTGTTGGAAGCATCTTTGGTGGGGAGGGCAAAGAAAGGCCAAGGTGTGCAGTGACCCCCTGAGAAGGGACTTTGAGTTAATGGCATCCCTGCCAAGTGAACTTTGTGGGCTGTTCCCCCTGCAGGGCAGGTGATAGTCCCAGCTACAGTGATGGGAAAAATAATTAAAAGGGAGCCCCAAAAGCTGGAAATCCTCCTGGAGGCTCTTGGCAAAGAGAGTTTGCTGAGTTCCCCCTGACAGAAGGACAGTGACAGCTTTTGAGTGCTGGTAGATCCTTTGAATAGACAGCCTTGAGTGTGTCCTTGTTGCCCCAGCAGGCCTTGTCCAACTCCCCATCTTCCAGGGGATATAGATATTGAAGTTTGAAATGCTCTTCCTAATCCTTTGTTGTCTTGAGGCTCTCCCCTGAGGAACTGCAGGAACTCCTGGTGCCGCCTGGGCCGATGGATTGGACGCCCCAGCCCCTCCGTTCCTGCCCAGCCCCTGGGGCCGTGTCCAGTGGTGGCACTGCCAGCCCTGCAGGGGAAGTGGGAAGGGCCTTTGCAGGTCTTGTGGGTCACATTGATAGCAGGTAAAGTTGCAGTAAAAGGACCTGGGGTCTGTTCTCCTTGAGTTCAGAAAGCTCCTTTTGGTTGGTGAGCAGAACCAAGTGGATCCTTCAGAGTTCCCATCCGTGTTTGTGTCTCAGCCTGTGTTAGGATTCAGGGCTGTCAGTTGTTGTCACTGAGGAGTCAAACTGTGCTTTAAATAAGGAGACCCTGGCCTGATGGCCCAGTGTCAAGGCAAAAGGGGGAATGATATGTGAGTGTTGAGATGTAACAAGGGCTAATCCTTTTTGCAGTGGGATGGAGCCTGGAAACTGCACAGAGCTGAGCCCAGGGATTGAAAGGGACCAAGCAAGGGAGGTGAAGAAAGAAGGAAGAAGGGAAGTGAGGCAGCAGCCAAGCAGCACCAAGTTGCTGTGTAAGCAGGTGAGTTGTGCTGAGGTTCCTCAGGCAGGCCCTGAGGACTTGGAGGGCTCCAGACAGAGCAGACCTGGGAAGGCCCTCGGTGAAGCCCCTCAGAAACCTGAAGCCCCTGAGCCTTTTTGGGAGCCTGAGCTATTGCAGCCCTGGGGATGGCTTTGGTTTGCTTCTTTCCTCAGAGTAAAACTGTCCAGGGGAGTCTGTGATCTCCCTGATTGTTGTATCATAACTGAAACTTGGAAGAAAGTTGACCTTGTGTCATTTCCCAACTGACTTGGCCGGGTTGAACCAGCAGTGCCAGATTGTTGTGGTGTGCAGGGTATTGTTTGTGTCTGAGCTGTTTGGGGTTGATTTGCCAAGGGAGGCCATGGAATGTTATGGTATTTTTGTCCCAATATTTGTAGGCAGTGCCCTGAATTAGTTGATTTCTGCCTCACTCCCTGATATCTGAGTTTGGAGATGTACCAAGAACTGGTAGTTTTTGCAGTGGGATGTTCCCTAGAAACTGCTTGGAGCTGAGCCAAGGAACTTCAAGGGACTGAGCAAGCAAAGGCAAGAAAGAATGAAGAAGGGAACTGAGGCAGCAGCCAAGCAGCACCAAGCTCCTCTACAACCAGGTGAGTTGTGTTGAAGTTGCTAAGGTGGTCACTGAGAACTTTGGGGGCTGCAGGCACAGGTGACCACCAGAGACCCCCGATGGAGCCCCTCAGAGACCTTATAAGGGTTTGTGTATGTGGGATCAGGTGTTGGGAATGTCCTGAATGTGGAACAGGAATGCAGGGAAGGAAAATGAACCCTCCTGTAATGGTGACCCCTCCCATGAGCTGCAGTGGAGACCCCTCCGTGTGCCCTTTGGGGGCTGATTGCCAGGACCCCCATGGGGCTGGGATCATGGCAGGGTGTTGTAAGCAAGGAATGCCTGGCTTGGAAAACTCACCAGCTGAGTCTTAGAGGCTTCTCTGAAGAGCTGATTTCAGGCAGCAGAATTGCCCCCCAGGAGGGACTCTGTGCCTGCTCTCCCGTGGCTCCAAGGGATCTCTGGCCCTTCACGCCGGCACCGAGATTTTCTCGGGAAGGGCCTCAGATCCCCGGACCAGTCTGGGACACAGGCAAGATCCCCCTGCAGTTTAGGACCAACTTGGCCCCCTGGAGGGACAGTGCTGTGGGTGCCCCCCGGGTTGGGGCACCCCGAGGACTCCAGCGCGCACCGAAAGGATTCTTCGGGGAGATCCTCGGGGTGCCCGGCCCTGGGGAGCTCAAAGCAAGGTCCCTGCCATGGATTCAGGCATTGCTGAGAGTATCCCAGGGGTCCCTGTCCCTGCTAGACATGGAGCTCTCTAATGGGCTGCAATTGGGTGATAAAAGTGGTGCTCCAAGTGCCAAAGAAGTGTGGGATTGGGATGAAGAAATGAGCAGGGAGGGTCCAATTGGCTGTTTTCTCTGGAATGTGACTGTGAGAGCTGCAGGAGTGCCAGGTGTGTGTTCCAGTCCCCAGCATTTGGTTTGCACCTGTCCTGCTCAGACACAGGTCCAACTTCCTCAGTCCTTAACACAAGAGAGGGAGAATGAAGGACTGGCAGTGTTCAGGTGATTGGTGTGACAGGGGTTAAACTGGGAAAACATTGGGTGATTCCTCAGTTTGTCTGTTTGCCAAACTCACCCAAACCTGTGCTAGGAAGACATGGAGTGTAAAAGTTGAGGCAGAAATGGAATTGAAAATGGGAATATTGACACTGTAATTGCTGAAACTCAATGTGTCCAAGCAGCAGCTCTTGTTGTGCAGGGAATAACTCCTGTCAGCAGCAAGGCCCCGACTGAAGTGGCAGCTGCAGCTGTTCCTGTGGTGTGGGCCAGTGGAACTGCAGGAGAGTGGAAGAGGGCAGAACCTGTAGGTATTACCCCTGGTGTGGGATCTCTCCTGGTAAGGCCAAGCCAGTATCCTTTAAAATCAGAATGCCAGACTGGATTGGTTGCAGGAACAGCTGAATTTGCTCCTCCTGGTTTGCTTGTAGAAGGTGAGTTCAAGAACCTGCCAAGGAAACCAATGGCCAAGGGGATTGATTAGTGCAGGACCTGAGAGAACCCCTGAAATGACAACCTGGAGCAGTTTCCAGGATTAGATTGCAAAGATGGCCTTGGCTGCATGTCCTTGAGCAAGGAAAGCCAAGAAAGCTTTGCTTTTGCAGGAGAAAATCTGGAAAGCAGGAAGGAAGAAAAGAAGCCCCGTGACTCCTCCCTGAGCCCCAGGCAGCCCCTGAACTGCCTTGCTGGGAATGGTGGGACGGGCTGGACTCTGGATTGCTCCCTCTGCATGTGTGGTAAGACTGTTATGGCAACTTTTCCAAGAGCCTGTAAGCATTTGCTGCCTTGGCTAGATGGTGCAAGGGCAGCCTTTAAACAGCTGAAGCCTTCCCTGAGGAGAGCTCTGGGTCTGCCAGATGTCTCAGAAGTGTTGGAAGCATCTTTGGTGGGGAGGGCAAAGAAAGGCCAAGGTGTGCAGTGACCCCCTGAGAAGGGACTTTGAGTTAATGGCATCCCTGCAAGTGAACTTTGTGGGCTGTTCCCCCTGTAGGGCAGGTGACAGTCCCAGCTACAGTGATGGGAAAAATAGTTAAAAGAGAGCCCCAAAAGCTAGAAATCCTGCTGGAGGCTCTTGGCAAAGAGAGTTTGCTGAGTTCCCCCTGACAGAAGGACAGTGACAGCTTCTGAGTGCTGGTAGATCCTTTGAATAGACAGCCTTGAGTGTGTCCTTGTTGCCCCAGCAGGCCTTGTCCAACTCCCCATCTTCCAGGGGATATACATATTAAAGTTTTAAATGCTCTTCCTAATCCTTTGTTGTCTTGAGGCTCTCCCCTCAGGAACTGCAGGAACTCCTGGTGCCGCCTGGGCCGATGGATTGGACGCCCCAGCCCCTCCGTTCCTGCCCAGCCCCTGGGGCCGTGTCCAGTGGTGGCACTGCCAGCCCTGCAGGTGAAGTGGGAAGGGCCTTTCCAGGTCTGGGGGATACATTTATAGCAGGTAAAGTTGCAGTAAAAGGACCTGGGATCTGTTATTCTTGAGTTAGGAAAGCTGCTTTTGATTGGTGAGCAGAACCAAGTGGATCCTTCAGAGTTCCCATCCGTGTTTGTGTCTCAGCCTATGTTAGGATTCAGGGCTGTCAGTTGTTGTCACTGAGGAGTCAAACTGTGCTTTAAATAAGGAG